CACCGCTGGCTGGAGCCAGCCGACGTGCTGGCGGATGTCCTCCGCCTGCTCCGAAGCCGCCTTCATGGAATCAACCATGGCCAGGAACTGGGGCCCGAACAGCCCGTCCGAGCTGATCGGAGCGTCCAGTAAGACCTTCCTGGCTGGCTCTGTGACCGCTGCCTGCTGTAACCAGAGGTGACACTGGATCTGTGTCATCCAGGCCGTAATCCTCGCCTGGGACACCGCCACGGCTGCGCACAGCGTGAGCGCCGTGCTGGCCGCCTTAGCAATCTCCTCCGCCTCCTCTGGAGCCACGGTGGTGGATCGCTCGACCAACGTCACCACCGAGTTGGTCAGCAAAGCGATATTGTTTGCCGCTGCCGCTGCCTGGAACGCACACTGGTGCGCCCGGTCAGCCTGGCGGACGACATACTGGCCCTTGGGGTCGGTCAACATAGGGCGCCGTCCGGCGACCAAGTTGGCCTGTCTCACCCCGAAAAATGCCGTTAAGCTCGGTTCCAGAGCGGGGGTGGTTGGGAAAACCTCATCTGTGAAACCCTCCACCTTGGTGAAGGGGACAAAGGTGGCCACCGGAGCCCTCAAGCTCCTCGGGTTCGCCGCTGCACCTTCCTGATAACGCCTAATGGCGGGGAAGCGCGGCCAGATCGGATCACTCCTGCCCGTCTGCACCCGGGAAAACACGCCCGCCATGTCGTCCAGAGCCACCCTCTCCCGTACTCGTGGAACGGGGAGACCTCTACATGCTGCTGCCTTGCCGATTATTTCCGGCAGCTCCAGCATGATGCCTCCCAATGCCGGTAGCGCCGTGGTCACGGAGAAGGGGACCACGTGCTCCACCGCCACCTCTGACTCTCGCTCCGACCCCGTCTCCCCCGTCCGGGGAAGAGGGGGAAGGGGAGAGCCGCATGGTGAGCCCTGGAGGGAGGCGGGGAAGGAGTCGTCCGACTCCTGCCCCCCACTCGCCTCCATAAACAGGCTGTCCTGGATGGGCTCCTGCCCACCCCAGACGTCTTCCTCCCCCGCAGCAGCTAGAGCGTCCGCCCTTCGCTTTCTGTCGGATGAAGGAAGACGCACACAGTGAGGACATGCGACCTGCTGGCTGAGAGCCGCGTCCGCGTGCTCTGGCCCCAGACAGGCTGCGCATATCGGATGCAAATCGTAGCTCATAATGTAGCCCGTATTGCACGAAGGGCACATACGGACACACTCTTTATTGCTCATGATGTTGCTTTTCTCGTGCTTCAGTAAACTGCTGGTTGCTGAAGAAAAGAGGGAGCAGATCACCGGGCAACCTCCCTATTTATACCGGAAAGTGGCCCGAGGGTGGGGCCCACCTAGCGGGTGGGCGTGGACTACAAGTGTTTCAGTACTGCGCGGGGGGCGCAGAAGGGTAAACCCAATAGCGATAGCCTTAGAGGGCGAAGCCATATACGAAATAGAACCCTGGGAGACTTCGGACTGTGAGACTGCTATGTTACTGTTGGTATTATAACTGAATTACTGGAGCTATTGTCACCTTTGAAGACACTAAACATCAGTTAACAGAGAGTAGGTCTACTATACTGTATAAGTGGGGGTTAGGCGATGATTGTTGATCTCTTCTCTTCAGAGTTGACTCCAGTTATTGTAAAATGTTGGTGAAGTTTATGAGAATAATTTCACTTTAACAGTAAAAACTACATGTATGTGATCAGTGAACATTTAAAGTGAAAGTGACATTGGACTAATGCGATCACATTGTAAAAATAAGCCAAGAAAACGTAAATGTCTTTAGGTAAGTTTCAGGTGATAGTAGTTTGTTTGCATCGGTTTGTTTTTGCAGTTTTCATGTATGCAACTTTGCGCATGTTTCGTCAAGTTGGTGAAGATTTTTCTTGTTTGTGTTTCCCAATTCATGTTTTTTTATTTGCAATTATTTTTAAACTGCAGAGCATTTCTTGTTGTGATAATGTTTTGGGCCGTTGTAAAGCATTTGCACCTGTTGGCCACTGTTAATAACCCTTTTAAAACAGATTTATACAAAAGTGGCAAATATATAAAAAAACAAACAATTGTATCCCAAATAATCTCTTAGGTGCAAACAGCCGCTGAAGTATTGTTGATTGCAACAAAGTAACATTATTGGGGATACCGGTTGTGTTTATTAGAAGCAATAGCGTCATCAAAAACCAGCATTCTATCACCATATTTAAACAGACTCCAAAGGACAGTGTGTGTATGTTTGTCCGTGTGCATTGTGTCATACCAGACAGCTTTCCTTGTTGATCGATGAGATTCTAATGTGCTGTCCCCTATTCTTAGGGTGTCATGTATTCATTTATTGCATCTGCTTGTTAATTCACTGAAATGTACTTAACACTATGACACATTGAGTTGACGAAAGCCACTTGCCTCATCATGCGTGTGCTGAAACGCACACATGTACAGCCACACACAAGGTTAGCAGTCCACCAGAAAGGTTAATTTTAGCTGCCGACATGGTAATGAAGCAGCTAAATCATGGGCCAGCTCCCAGGAGCAATTGTGCATGTGTGTGTGTTTTCTGTTTTTACAGCGACTGACGTGTCTTAACAGGCTCTTAGCGTACAGTTACACCACGCACAGAAGCACACCACTTATTGACATCGCGATCCCTTGCCATGCATATTTCTCCCCTCAAGAAGGGCCTCAGGCCAATTATGCGTAAATCAATAAAGTTCCTGTTCTGTTGAGTGGTGTTACAGTGGGAGTGTGTATGTGTGTATGTCTCTCTGTGTGTATGTCTTGTAGAACAAGTCTTTATGGATGTAGGATACATAAAACATCACCATCAGCCCCTGATTAGCCACTCACTTTACGTCTTGATCGATAACTTTGTGGAAAGACACACACATTGAAACAATTGCAAATGCATCCACACACATGGAGCGCAAGTGCATTCCTTGTGTCGTTACGTCTGTCTCAGTGTGCGTGCTAATGCTCAGTCATGTGCTTTGGTGTAACTCCAGTGGTTTCGCAGATGCTGTCTGCTCACTTACAGCAGATGGTAGCTGGATCTAATGGCCCAGCCTTATGTGGCGTAGATTTATCAGTGCATCAGTACCACGCTCAAGTACACCCTGCCAGGAGTACCACTTAATGTGAGGATCATTTCCTGTTTCATTCAGGAGATGTTCATTTTGAGACCAAATGTAACATTTTAGACAAATCATGCAGAAGTTTTCAGTTTTTCTGTAGATTTTTACAAAAAATGTGGGCTCAAGATATCAAAATGTATTGGGAGAAAACCTAAGAAAATACTTTTAAACATATTTATTCATAATACATGTAGCTCTGTGAGTCTTACATCAACAGTATAGATTGAAGTGAGGTTTTACTCGGACTAAGATTTGTTTGGTTTTCTCTCTGCAAGGTTTTTCCCCAAAAATAAAATCGAATGAAATACTGTATATATATATAATATGTTATAGTTTGAACAGACTGAAAGATGATCAAACAGATGGAGGCACGCACAGAAGTACATAAAACATAAATCCTGCAGCCACAGCTTTGTCAGAATGAAAGCATAAAATATATAAATACATATTTTCTAAGAAAAAGTGATATGAGGCGTGGAGCTGCAACAGAAGCTCAACACCCAATGGAGTAGCACATGCTATGCAAATTGTTTAGAGATGATAAAAAAAATCTGCCAAACGGCATATGCCCTTATCATTTCTTATAGTTGAAACAAGGGACATCTTTGGCGTTGGATGAAACAAAATGGTGGGAACAGATGTGGCTGTTAAAAATACATTCAAAAAGTCAACTGGGTACAATAAGCCATATTGTATTGTACTGTATTACAGTCATGAGAAGTCTTTGGAATCACTTGAAATAAGCTGTCGCTGTGTCAACAGATGCAGCCATTAAAAATACATTTAAAAAGTCCACAGATTACAATATAAAGTATCATTCATCAAAATAAACACAAGAATTGTTAGAAATGAAAATATTCGCTATGTCAACAGATGTAGCTGTTACGAGTACGTTCAAAAGCTCAAATCCCTGAGCAAGTATTTATAGATGAAAGGTTTGGGTATTTTTTCAAAACCACTCAGCGCATCCATTGTCTATTTACCAAAAGGGATAAACAAAACAAAACAGAAAAAGACATAAAATGAGCAGCAAGAGCAGAGAGAGTTCATGAGTGAACAGACGGAAACGAGTGTTGGGAGTCAGGTGTGTGTGTGTGTGTGTGTGTGTGTGTGTGTGTGTGTGTGTGTGTGTGTGTGTGTGTGTGTGTGTGGTGTGTGTGTGTGTGTGTGTGGTTCATGTTACCCTGCTGCAATGTGCTATTTTGTGTTTAAGTGAAAGCGCCAGGTAGAGATGGAATTGAAGCATAGATTAAGAGAAAGTGTGTGACAGTCTGTCAGAGAGATACTGACGGATAAAGACATTGAATACAAATCCTGTAACTGTGTGTGTGTCGATGTCATCCTGCACTGATCAATTAGTACTCATCTCAGTCCCATAGATTGTTGCCTGAGTTATTAAACACAGCCAATTCATTACCATTCCATAATGGTTATACATCTCAAAGAGAGATTGTATGTGTGTTTCTGTAACTCTGTGTGTGTTTGATTCATGGCCAGCAGGAAGTGTGTGCTACGCCACATTTTTCTCCTTGTAATTAACAGTAAATTGTTTTTACTGCCGCGTGCCATGAATATCCCCTCCGGTTAACACAACCATTGCTGTCTCCACTCAAGTACCCAATGACTGACTGTGTGCTTTTGGATACGTGTGTACATACTGTATGTCAGAGGCTTGTGTTGTAGTAGTTATAAAGAGAATAACCCCACAAGTATGTTATGTTACTAAGCTGCTATTATCTCTCTGCAAAAACAATCGGCATCAGCATTTCCATGTTTTCAAATGTAGTTTTTATAAAGCTGATTACTGTTGCGGGGCCATTTGTACTTTTGTTTCCGTTTGTCTGCATCCATGTGTGTTTGTGTGCACATATTCTTGTTTACCTGCTGGTAAGGTCAGTCCTGTGCTTGGCAGACTGGAAATGCAACCTGTCTTTGTGCAGAGTGTTACTGTGAAGTTGTACACATGGTAAGGATTCAGTCCTTTCACCACATAAACAGGTGGTGACGATGGGCCCACCCTGTGTAAGACCTGAACAAGTGAGAGAAAGAGGGGAAAAAGTAGCAAGAAACAGGATTTATACACACTGACCTCAGTACTTAACTCTGTACACACACACTTTGACGTGTTAACCGACCTGACAACCCATACACTACAGCTGCACTATTAATTGTGTAATAACTGTGACCATCAGAAAACCATGATGATTAAACATCATCTTGTAAAATACCAGTAATTTCATTTTAAGAGTGCCTGACAAATCAAATCACATTTCATTAAATTGTATGGCCAGTTAAAAGTGTTTGGGTTAATTACATATTTATTCATACTGTGGTTCCAAAACTTTATTGCAAACGCAGGTAATAACATTTTCAAGAAAAGCATGATGCGGCATCAGTTGTACTGGGGATGAGTAAATCCAACATAATTTGTCAATAACTGAAAGGTAGTTGTCCTGATCATATTGTGAAAGGGAAAACGTGTGTCTGCGTCTTACCTGACTAATAACTGGAGGAGCATAGGGATTGTTGGCCTGTTCTGTGAGTAAGTTGACCCGATATTCGGTGACCTGTCCGCGGGCAATGACCCCTCGACCCTCAGCAGAGCTCCACACAACTTTAAGGCTGCTGGAGGACAGGGAGGTCACATCTGGAGGAGCAATCCACTCTGGGACTGGAAAACAACATATGTATGAAAAGTAAACATCACACAATATATTTAGTCATTTATTAATGATACACTTTGCATCAACTAATCACATATTGTCATATTGTGAATGACAAATCATTTCAGGTATTACAACTCTTCTAAACATTTAAACAAAACCTGCAATTATTAAACGGGTCATGATGTACTGATTGTATTGATGCATTGATGAAAATCAATCAATCGAGAAATGTCACTAGAATTTGAGAGGATGTCCCTGTCTATTTGAACAGTGAATGGTTGAACCTAACTAGAAAAAATTGCAATTGTTACTTATGACTTACATTAGAGTATGAGGACTGGTATTGTGGAGGGCACACGCATGTACATGTATTTGAATCCTGTTTTTCTGTGGATTTACGGTACAATAACAAATCAGTCAGAAAACCATTGAAATACAGGACTAGACCCACTTTCTCATTAGTGATCTACCCATCTTTTTAAAAGAATATACCCCCTCCCCAAGGGACCACTACACCAATTGATATGATTAAAATGAATTTATAATTATCCCTGAGTCTAGAAGAAGATGCATTTTCTTTTAGATTATGAGAGCCTGAGACTAAAACCTTACAAATTGTTAATCTCTTAGATTTAAAGAAGTGTTGGATACATTTTTCTTTGTATGCCATCTAATACTATTTAATATGAACCTTTAACAGTGAGCTAAATACTAATAAAATACTAATTTATACACAGAGACATAAGTAAGAAATTGAGACTTCTTGGATATTATGTGGATTTAATGGATTTAAATATTTCATAATTCTACGGTAGTGAAAGCCACCATTACATGACAGATTAGAGAGAAGAGATTCTTTTATTCCTCTGTTGATGGCATCTAGCTGTGAAATATGCTGTGAAATGTGATTCATGGCAGACATAATCACAGTCACATTCTTCCTCCCTAACTCAGCGCACGCACGTGCACAAACACTGACACACTCTCCACATATAAAATTGTGTTATCATATGCTTGTTATCCAGACACATAGCTTAGAGTGATGTTGGAGGCAATCGTTTAGTCCTAATGAGCCATATCATCTATTTGAAATTCAAATACCTTAATGAGTTTCCCCTCCCCCATAAGCAGTTTTTATTTCCTCCCTCCTTCTTCTCTCTACATTCTATTTGACAAATCCCAGTTTTTTTATTTAAAACAATTATTTTTTCATTAGATCCATCAGTACACATTACATTACTCAGAGCTCTGATTTCACTCATAATTGTAATGTTTTTTGCCCTTAATTTGTGCTGTATTTTATGCTTGAGGAAATGTCAACACTACATAATTGATAAATCAGTTTATATAAAATGTTTTGTTCTAAGCAAAGAAGCAGCCAAATGTAATATTCAGATTAGAAACGTTTTCTTATCCTGCTACCTTCTTACAGGTTTACTCTCTGGCCTGCCTACCTGCTGCTGAGCAAGACACTGTGCAATGGTTCAACCATTTCAACATCAAAGTAACAGTATTCTCCCCTGTCAAGCATCACTCTGGGGACATCGACTAAATGCATGTTGGAATAACTTAAGCATCCTTCTTTTCAATTTTAAATAATACATTTGCTGTTGTAATTATACTGTTTAATATGTTTAAAAACAGATATTATTGAAAGAAAGAAGGTAAACATCAACATAACAGGGGATTCCAAACCTTTGAATGGTGGTGTATACTGTATAAACATGACATTTCAAGAGAGACCTTGTGAGTATGAATTATAGACCAACGCAGGATTTTTATGGAGCAAGCATCTAATGGCCATGGGAGAAACTCCAGTAAAAAGGCAAATAGTCTATACTAAAAACCCTTATAGCTAAAAATATTTTTGCTATCTGCAGGTAAACGCCCTTACTGCTGACTATAATGTCATCTGACTTCGACTGATGTCTAATCCCTGATGGTAAAAGAACAATTAAAAATATCAATCTACATAGTTTAAATGGATTAATCCCTCAAATGGACCCCATGAGTGAATAACAAAATATCTATGTAAACTCAGTTTAACCACAATCATGATCTATACTAACCTCCCTCCATGGTGCGTGCTGTGGTCCAACCTGATGTGACACTTCCTGCCACATTGATGCTCACGACTCTCATCTGATAGGTGGAAAACGCCTCCAGATTGTCTACAGTGGTGCTGCTCTCAGGGGGGGGGACTGTGCTCCTATTGGTTAGCTGTGCCTCTGGAGAATCACTCAGATCCAGCCATCCAGCGCTGACAAACACTCTCTTTTCATCAGCCGGACCTGAAGAGTTCTGTGTTTCCATCGGTCCGCGTAGAAAGACCTCATACCTCGTGATAACACCTGTAGAGAAAACTAAATTGTTATAAAATGAATTTGTACATTTCTATTTGTTCAATCAATTTCCAGTCCAAGTCCAGAAAATGTAAGAAATGATCATGTGCATTTAAAGCATAATTCGAAACCATATTTTCAGCCCTAAGATCTCTAGAATGCTATGATAAACCATGTTTTCGTTAATACAATAAACAGGGCCAAGTCAGGGAACAAACCCACTCAGATTTCAGTTCAATCAAGTTGAACATTGAACTAATGACAGGGGAAATTAAGAAAGTAAACACACAGAAACCCATGTAACGAGGCTTTTTGTGGCACTTTGAGGGAAAAAGATTAACAAAGACAGAAGAAAAAGAGACAAACAGAGAGCGAAACCTCCGGGTTGCAGGGCTTTGTATGACACTGAGCCTTAGAGCCATTACAAAGCTCTCTGGATTTACTAAAGGCAGTCCCGGTTCAGTGCGTATTGCCGTATGTGTGTGTGTGTGTGAGTTGATTCCCTTGCTGTCTCATGTCATTGACACAGGCCTAAAAGCCATCCTGCAAGGCAAGTGTTTTATGTTAGTTAAAAATGTGTGTTGTGTTTGTGATTACCCTACTTGTATTATACATTTATACATTGACATTAATGAGTATATATGTATACTGTATTTGTTAAGCCATGTCATTCTAACATATTTCTGATGAATATGTATCCATGTGTGTATTTTTACAGTTTCTGTGCATGTTTTCTGTAGTTCTACATCTTTAGAAAATGTAGGGGTCCTACCATTTGGCTGACTGGGGGGGTCCCAGGAAGCATTCAGAGTATGAGGTCCTGTAGCAGTGACTCTGGGTGGTGGTTGGTTTCTTGGGGGGGCAGAGGCTGTCAGAAGAGACAGTGGTTGGGTAGATGTGCACCCCCCAGAAGAGCAAGCCTGCAGACAAGGTTAGCTTTTGATCATTTTCATTTTGTAGGCTGTAACTTCCTGAACATTTTCATCGGTTGCGGCCCAGGCATACTTGATATATACTGTTAAAGATACATGAGCTTTACACTATGTTTATTTTGGGGAATTTGGTACAAATAGGCTACATTTTGCAAAGAGACACAAAGACTTTTAACAGTAGCAGATGTTCGCCCTACGTACCTCCAGCGTGACAGTGTACTGGGTGAAGGGCTTCAGACCGCTCACCACAGCCTCTGTTGATAAGCCTGTGTAGTGAACGACAGGCTCGGCTCCTCCAAACTCCTGTGAGGATAACACAAACCTGTGGGAGACAAAAACTGTGATTCACAATACACCAGTTCACATGGTACTGTAATGTGTTTCAGTTAGAATATAGTGCTGGGATGTTAAAGTGGCCTAGGGGCTAAAAATGTATAGAACAGTGTAAACAGTAATATCTTTGATTTAAATAGTAGGCAGCTTCTGCTCCTCTGCCCACATTCCTGTCTGGCTATTAACAATACATTATATGTTAAAATGCCCCAAAATTAAATCAAACTGAAGGTTCCTCATCAATTTCAGTAATGTAACCATCATGCTTTAAAGGATTATCCAGACTTATTATTTTTTAACACAAAGTGTATATCCAAAAGGGACTTCAATATGTCACTTATAAAAGTTTTCTCCAAGTCCAGTCATAATTTAGTTCATGTACACTCAGGCTGTAATAGTATGTTACAATATTTTCAGCAGTCAGTTTCAGTCAGAAGCTAAACATAGAATAGAGTGAGAATCTAAATTCTGAATTCTGACTAAACATCCCCTCCAGCCTTTCCTCACCTCTTCACTGGGCCTGTATCATTCCTGGGTGTGCTCCAGTTAAAGCTAGCGGCGGTTGGACCGGCGCGTCCCACAAGGTTTAAATGGAGGTGTTCTGCTTCAGGGGGTGCACCTAAAGTTTGGTATGATGCTGCTGCACTTATGGCGGCACCCACCACATTAGCTGTTATTACCCAGTAAGAGTAGTTGTTATAAGGAAACAAACCGGTGTCTTCAAATGATTCAGGGCCTAAAATAAAAGAGGGCAGAAAAAAGTATGTAGGGAAATGAATTTGGAAAACAATGATTGCTTCATGTGCATTTGAAATTGTAAAAGGATTAAATGTGTTTTAAAATGCAGGTACTGTACATGAAGCAAAAGAAAACAAATATATACAAAGGTACAAGGATAAGGTAACCGTTAAATAGGACATCAGAAAACACACTTACTGAAAGGATAGTGACTCTGGATGGTATGCACTGACTGTCCATCTCTGATGAGTGTGTAGTTCAGTCTGTTGGAGTTTGGGGAGTCAGGTGGGTGCCAAGAGAGACGAATGGAAGAATAACTGAGAGCAACACCCACTGGTGCCGGCTGCTGGAAGGGTTCTGCAGACAGCAAAAAGAGTGAAATAAATAAACAGTGAGATATAGACACACACAACCTAAGTAAGTAAATGTAGCAAGACAATTGTTTATACTTAGAGTATCTTTATATTTTGTAAATGTGTTTCTAGTGTAAGCAATATGTTCCCCCAAATCAGATTACATTACAACAGTACAAGTAAAAGTCAGTTAGCTTAGCGCTGGAAACAGCTAGCCTTCAAGTCAGTTTGCGTGGATTTGTGCTTTTGTGTGTATGTGTGTGTTAGCGTTTAAAACAGACCTTTACTGCAGCCGAAGTGATTCTCACGGTCGAAATGACTCGCTCCAGGTTGACATTTATTACACTTGTCTCCAGTTACCAGCAGCTTACACACACACATCCCAGAGTCTGGATGACATGAACCATTGGCACTGCCCAGCGGGTCACATGCACAAGGCTCACATCTGGTCAAGCAGAGGAAAGAAAGTAAACTTTTTCAGGAGATATTTCAGGATATTTTTCTAACTAGAAAAAAAACAACATCAACACACCCATCAAAAATTACCAGAGCTATGTTGGACAGTTTCAATAATAACTTTTACATTTTGAAAAGCTTATGATTAAAAACAAACAACTACAAGTTCATGTATTTATACATATATGTATTTGAACTTAGTATTGTAGATGGCAGGCCAAATAAAAAGAGAAAGAAAGTGCACTTTTGAAATGTATCTGCATTAATGTGCAAATGTTCAAAGCTAACTGGTGACTGGGTATGTGTGTCTGAAAGGTGTTGGGTCTTCACCTTAGCACTATGAGGAAGACCCCTCACTACCGCCCATCCCACCCATAATCATCCCATAGCTGTGAAACTAACTTCACAGAAAATGCGAATTTCCCCTCAGATGACAAAATGTGTGTGTGTGTGGTGTGTGTGTGTGTGTGGTGTGTGTGTGTGTGTGTGTGTGTGTGTGTGGTGTGGTGTGCTGTGTGTGTGTGTTGTGTGTGTGGTTGTGTGTGTGTTGTGTGTCTGTGTGTGTGTGTGTGTGTGTGTGTGTGTGTGTCTGGGTCACCAGTGTGGTGTTACCCTCACTGGGGCAGGACAGCGGGTGATTATCCGGCCAGCCACCTCACACCTTTACACACAGTCATGCATGCACATGCAAACACATGCACGCACACACACACACACTATCATATGTACTTGTTGGAAGATGTTTGGCTCCCACTCACATCCAGAGTAGCTCTGTACAGTATAAAGTAAACCCTGTTACTGACACACTCTCACAGAGCATTTTTCTTTCACACACACACACACACACACGCACACACACACACACACACACCTTTTTTATTGCTGTGTGAAAAGCCACAGCCTCTTAACGAGCCACAAATGTGTCCTGTCAACTAGTGCTCAAATGCACACACAGACACATGCTCAAAAACACACAATTACAAATACACACATATGCCATATTGACTCGACCTTCACTCCATTCCCAAGGAGAAAGAAAACACCAACATCACACCCATTCTCTCCTTTTTCATCAGCCTCAAAGTACTCTATGTGTATGAACGAGAGAGAAGGTAATGTGTGTGTATTTAGTGAGATATAGCATCTGAATAGAAACAAGCATTTAACAGTGACATAACATTAAATTGCCACAATGATATTTTGTTATGTAATACTTATTTAATTAATACTATATTTATTAAGTTACTTCAAATACAGTTAGGTTACAATAACATACAATGTATGTAAATGTAGAAGTATTGGATTATTACATGTGTAATCCCTTGTAATAAAATTACAAGTGAATGTGTGTATGTGCCAAAATCTAATCCCTGCAGACAGAATTACCATCATATTTCCCCGTGATGAAGTTAACACCGGTCAGCATTTTCTGACCCGGTTCTCCATGGAGACACATAGGGACACAGTACCACAACCAGCCAACTGCTCACACATCAATGTGTGTGTGTGTGTGTGTGTGTGTGTGTGTGTGTGTGTGTGTGTGTGTGTGTGTGTGTGTGTGTGTGTGTGTGTGTGTGTGTGTGTGTGTGTGTGTGTGTGTGTGTGTGTGTGTGTGTGTGTGTGTGTGTGTGTGTGTGTAAATTAATTTGAGCAAAGCCTATTGATTGAAGAGGAAGGATAAATTACTTGATGATATTTAGATGAAGAAATCCTTATTATGGAGCGACTATGGGCACAAGTAAAGCATTCAGCACTAATAACCTCCCACTTTATTCATCATTTTTCCAGCACAATAAAAGAATACAAGACAGTAAGGCTTTGATTACACCAAAACGGCTGCTTAAAAATGGCAAAACACGTGGAGTATGGGCTGTGATGCTCAGGGGTAGGGTTGGGGGGTGGTTCAGTTTGCTAATTAATATAAATAATGGGGTGCCCTTGAATTATATAGTTCACTGTAATTAAATACAGCTCATTTCAACCTCTCGTCTGCATTTGCCATTGCAACTATCCTACCATATCTTAAGGCATCAAATCAAGAAAGAAGTGGTGGAGCAGTAAAGCCTTGCTCTTGCTAAGTGTGATGTTGATAAAAGTGTCAGGCTCTATATTTAGAATATTTTAACTTTAATTCATGTGTAAAACCAGGAGAAAAACACACTCAAGAAATGCACTTTGTAGCATGGCATTTTTTTGCCAGTTACCATGTGGGCCTTAGAACATCCCCATCCATTTTTTATTTATTCCACTCTTTCCTTCCCCTATCTCTTTGTTAAAAGTAAACTCTTTATCAAAGTTGTTTTTTCTCCCTCCTTCCATCAATCCACCCCTCTCAGCTGTGAGGAGATCTCAGCCACAGCCTGAACACAGGGGAATACAGCTATCAGGCAAGGTCAGCTCACATACACACGGAAAAAAAACACACACTTACTCAGTGGACCACTAGTCAAACAGTTTGTGGATTATCTGTCTTTGCCAGCCTGTTGAGAGGAATGTATGTCTGTGTGCGCACCAGTACTGCACACGGTGTAACAGTTACATTTGTGTATGTGTGTTTTAAGTTGTGTGTGTGGCGCTGTGTGTGAGATAGCCTGCAGGTAGAGACATGAGCGGTAAAGGTCAAAGCAGCTCTTAACTCATGTAAGTCATATGTCTGCCAGCTAATCTGTAAACTGTCCTTACAGAGTGTGTGCTCGAAGGTGGAGCTGCGTGTGTGTTCGTGTATGCGCATGTGGTGCAAGTGATTTACAGTTTGTACAACCTGCATATATGGTATTCATCTGTGTGTGATTGCCTTTGTGCGAGTTACCTTCCCAGGCCGGGGTTGAATCCAAAGAACATCTCATGACACTGGTCACAGCGCCGCCCTCCCACTGAAGGATGGACACACACACACTGTCCTGTCTGCCTCTCACAACCCCGCTGCGCTGCTCCCATAGGATGGCAGTCACACTCCGCACACACACTCTGATCTGGAGAGAGGTAAAAGCCTAGACCAAAAAAAGAGACGAAGATAAAATGGAAAAAACATTTTTGAATTTGGTTAGTAGTCTGCCATTTCCTTATTCTGCCAACAATCATGTGCATTGGGGGTTTCATTACCCATTTATTTGTAATAAAATGTAACACAAAGCCAATAGGTGTGTGTGAGGTTACATTAAGCAATCCAGGTTCTAAAGTTAGCTGTAAATCAATTCAGTTTATGTTTCTCAACGCTAATATCGTCCAACAAACAAATTCGATAAATTCTATTAAACCATCCTAAACTGACAGTTTAGGTAATCAGGGGGGAGCTGTAGGAGGTTTAAGTATATAACGGGATAAATGATCTTGGCAAAGTTGTTCATCTATGTTACCTTACGACAGTAATTAATATTGCCTTAGTTTTTATTTTCGGGCTATTTCAGATAAAATTAAGATTATTTTGTGTCCTCTGATGCTCTTTTTAACATCTGTCCATCAATACATCCATCACAACACGTGTTACAGTAAACCTGACTATGCTGGTGGTCTTACTCCATTACAGACACAATACAACATCTGTTACCGCTTGTCCCATATGACTGACACACACACACATACACACACACACACACACTTATGAGGTAATGCACACACAAAAACCAAAGTGAGATGAGTGAGAAGAAGCAATTTCCCCCCTCTATGGTGCTGTTGTTAAGACCTGGCACAAACAGGACAATCACAGAGTGGAGATCTGGCAGAGGGCATATGCCAACACATACACAAACCCACACCAGCACACAAGGAAACACACACTTAAAGTAGCAACCATTGTTCTTCACCTTTTTCAAATTTTGTTGGGGTAGTCTGAATTTTGGTCAGAAATGTATCCACTTTATTCAATCATTCCTTGTACTGTCAACCTATGTTACCGTAGAAACACTCACCAGGTCGGCAGCTACTGCAGTCCTTTCCATAACGTGTAGGGACACAAACACACTGCCCTGTGGTGCTGTCACATACTGACCCCGCCACTATCCCTCTGAGGTCACAGACACATGGCACACAGCCTTGGGACAACCTATCTGTTCGACACAAAAAAGAAAATTGAACGCAGAATGGATCAGTTTTCCCACAAAGTTTCATTACTTACACAACAAAACAAATGATTAACAACACACAAATTATATTTCTACAGACAAAAGTCCTTATACTGTATGAGAAAACATAACATGCATTTTGATTTCAAATACAGTAGCTCTGATGCAGGGACGTGCACAGACATTTGGAGGGGCTATTGCTCTAAACTGGAAAAAGGGCCTCCCCCCCGAAAAAAAACATACTGTAAGACCTTTTGAAAATTCTAACTTGTTTTTAATGTAAAAGGTTCATAAAATAAAAACACAACACTGTGACATTCAGTTGACTTTTATATCCAACTGCTAAATTCGTTATTCAGGCATATTTTTTGTTTTGCGGTCCATATCATTAAAATATCTAATGTTAGTAACTATTAAAGAAAAAATTGGGACGATCCTGTTTTAATGTAGTTTTACCATTGTAACTGCTGGACATATTAGGCTACCTTAAATAAACTCACTAATTAATTAAATCAGTTCAATACGCATTATACTTATTCTTATCATTATTTATGAGCATAGTAACGGTAAGGTATCTAATTACTTATTTATTTAGAATCCCATAATTTAATAACAGAGATGGTCAAACTAAAGTAGAGACATGCCAGAAATCCTACAATGAAGCGGGACAGTGAAGTGTTCTCCGTGAGAGGGCGATCAAGAGAAGAGAGCGAGCGGCCCCGTTGAGGGAGTTTAATAATAATAATAGCTTGGATTTATATAGCGCCTTTAATGAGACCCAAGGTCGCTTTACAAGGAAGAACAGGGCAAAACAAACATAACAAAACAAAAGGCAGTCAGACAACCAGTCAGACAGACAAAACAACAAATAGATTAGGGGCCAAAGGCCTTAGTGAACAGATGGGTCTTGAGGGCCCTTTTGAAGGCGTCAAGCGTGGGGATGTTGCGGATCTCCGCAGGGAGAGCGTTCCAGAGGGTGGGGGCTGCCACACTGAAGGCTCTGTCCCCGAAGGTTCGCAGTTTGGTGCCGGGGGTGGTAAGAAAGCCAGAGTCTGAAGACCGCAGGTTCCGGGAAGGGGCATGTGGGTGAAGGATGTCCGATAGGTACTGGGGAGCATGGGCATGGAGGGACTTGTAGGTAAGGAGGAGGATTTTGAATGATATGCGGGACTTGACCGGCAACCAGTGTATTTGTGAGTACCCTAGCAGCACAGTTTTGGACATACTGGAGCCTGTCCAGGGTTTTGTTGGGAACCCCCAAACAGGAGCCCATTGCAGTAGTCCAAGCGGGAGGTGACAAACGCATGGGACGGGTGGCGCAGTGGTCTGTGCATCCGATCATCAGATCAAGGGGGAGTGCTGGGGAACTCCAGTTCGAAACCCGCTCCTGCCGCCACTGCGTCAGGCCGTTGTGTCCTTGGGCAAGACACTTCACCCGGATTTGCTCCTGTGGGTATTGTCCACAGTACATGTATAATACCAATGTGTACCTGTAAAAGCGCCTCGATGTCTTCGAGGCGTGAAGATGGACGGTGTGGCGCAGTGCGCTGTGCAATGATCATCAGATCAAGGGGTGAAACCCGCCGCTGCTGCGTCTGTAAAGCCGGTGTGTCCTTGGGCAAGACACTTCACCTGAACTTGCTCCTGTGGGTATTGTCCACAGTATCTGACCATTGCATGTATCATATATGTGTAATGTGTGTATATGTAAAGCGCTTTGAGTCATTGATAAAGCGCTATAATAAATGTAAGGAATTATTATTATTATTATGGACTAGGCTTTCGGCAACCGACTCCAAGAGTGACGGTCGGAGTCTTGCAATGTTCCGGGGACTACGCGGATAGCAGAGCACAACGGTGAGCTCGTTATGCTAATAGCAGGACGGCAGAGGCTAGGAGCTAAACAGCACTCGAACATAATCGGCTGAGCAACGGAGATGGCAGAAACACAAAACCAGGGCAGAACAATCTGTCTTTTTACAGATGAAAAGACACAGAAAGACAGAAGCACAATAACAAGTAGGCCTATATTTAGGTGTTTTTTTTGTAAATAACCGACGGTGTCAAGAGGAAGTAAAGTCCCCTGGTTTGTCCCCTATACTCTAAAGGCCCTGGCCATAGGCGGATTTTGCAGGGGGGGGGGGGGGGCAGGGGGGGCAATATATCAATATTTTAATATATGTAATAAAATGATTGTTAAAAAAAATAAAAGTTTTGTTTGAAATAATTTCATTTTTCAGCAGTCGCATGTTGTGACGTGTGTATGTGACGTCACTGACGTGTGAGGTTAAGGACACAAGTTCCCTCATCTTATTTGTGCAAAATTGTTGATATTGTGAGGCTGTCCAAACTCGGATTGCCTTTTCGTGGGCATCGGGAGGGAAGCGAGTCAGAGTCGCGTGGGAATTTTCTTGAGGTTTGCTTCTTCTCCAAGTATGATTCTGCTTTTAAAAACATGCAGTCCAACTATTCCAATGCGACTAGCCCAGATTTCCAGAACAAAGTCATTGACATATGCGCTAACTTAGTTCGTGCAGAAATTGTAGAGAAAGTGCAGGATACTGGATTTTTTTCTATAATTGCAGATGAGGCCAGGTCTTGCAAAACGGAACAATTATCAGTGTGTTTAAGATATGCAGAGCAGCTTGAAATCAAGGAGCGTTTTTTGTGTTTGATTGATTGCTCAGCATCTCGCAATGCGGCTGGGATTGTGGAAGCAATAAACAAAGGACTTGAGATGTGTGGACTGAAACATATCCCAATTGTTGCCCAGAGTTACGATGGTGCCTCCGTCATGTCTGGTCACGTTTCTGGTGTGCAGCAGCGCATTAAAGGAGACCCACCCATACGCAGTGTACGTGCACTGCTTGGCGCACAAACTAAATCTCGTGCTTGTGAAGTGTTGTGCTGTCAACCGCAGCGTGAAAACATTCCTGAACGTCAGACAGACTGTACTCTGTATTTGCAGAGCCGTCAAACCATCATTGATTCATTGAAATGCAGAAATCACTGAATCTGAAACTGAAATAATACAGCCAAGTGAGACAAGATGGGCGTACAAGTGGCGATCTGTGAATTCCGTTAAAACTCACTACTCTGCAATTACAGGGTGCCTGAGAGAAATGAGTGACGAGGGAGACAAGTTGTCTGTGGAGGCCAGTGGCCTTTATGCCCACATGACCAGAATCTCTTTCATTACATGTGTTATTGTATTTGAAGACATACTGCGTGTGATTCATGTTACGCACAAGGCCCTGCAGTCCTCCAGCTGCACACTCTCCGAAGCTGCGGCGCTTACCGACAACCTGAAGGCGCACTTCAAATCTCAGAGACAAGCAGATACGTGGAGCAATATGTGGGGATCAGTGAAACAGTTCTGCCGGGACAACAACGTGGCAGTACCTGTGGATGCAGATGTTGAGTGTCAGACTCCGGGTCCCCTTGCACCCAAAATAAAACGGGCTACAAAACCCCCGACCTCCCTCGACAGTTTCCTGGTTACAACTATTTTGGGCCAAAGAGAAACTGATGAAAGTGGCGCACAAAGGTCACAGAGTGATACAGCTGGATTTCAGCAGCACCTATATCTCCCTGTGCTGGACACCCTCATCAACGAACTAAACAGACGATTCACGGGAGAGTCCATAGACCTGGCACGAGCATGTGCAGCACTGTTTAAATGTGACAAAAATGGAATTGAACCTCTCGTACAAATATACGCACAGCCGCTCAAAATTCACTCTCTCCTTCTTGGAGCAGAAATGGACCTTGTTAAAGCCTTGAGCATCTTCGAAAGACTGTTAAAAAGGAGAGCTATCCAAATGTATACAAGATGCTCCAGTTGGCACTGACTCTGCCTATCGGATCTGCCACCTCAGAGAGAAGTTTTTCTGCAATGAGGAGAATTCGGAACTGGCTGCGGTCAACGATGGGAGGAATAAGATTTTCCTCACTTGCTGTTCTTCACATTGAGGACGACATAACTGCACAGCTGTCACCTGAGGGGATAGTGGACATATATGCGGAACGTAAAAAAAGGCGTCTACTTCTGCACTAAGGTAGGACACTGGTTAAAAATATTGTAGAGTGTTCAAGTAACCAAGGGATATAGTAGTTATCAAATAAGTATAATATGTGCACAGTTATGATACGTTTTACAGTTATGTAATGCACTGTTGTTGGGGGGAGAGACCGCCCCTTCCATATGTCCCCCTTCCTGACTCAGAAAGCGACTCAGGTTCTGGTCCAGGCTCTCGTCATCTCACGCCTAGACTACTGCAACTCCCTCCTGGCTGGTCTACCTGCATGTGCCATCCGACCTCTGCAGCTCATCCAGAATGCAGCGGCTCGTCTGGTCTTCAACCTTCCTAAATTCTCCCACACCACTCCGCTCCTCCGCTCCCTTCACTGGCTTCCGGTAACTGCTAGAATCCACTTCAAGACACTGGTACTTGCTTACCATGCTGCGAATGGATCTGGCCCTTCCTACATCCAGGACATGGTTAAACCGTACACCCCAGCGCGTGCACTACGCTCTGCATCAGCCAAACGACTCGTTGCGCCCCTCGCTGCGAGGGGGACCCAAGTTCCCATCGGCTAAAACACGTGGGTTTGCTGTCCTGGCTCCAAGATGGTGGAATGAGCTCCCCATTGACATCAGGACGGCAGATAGCTTGCACATCTTCCGGCGCAAACTGAAAACTCATCTCTTTCGACTCCACTTCGAGCGTTAGAACTATTAACGAAGCACTTTTATACTAATAAAGGACTGGCTTACCTAAAGCCAGTTGAGTAGCACTTGAAATGTTTGGCTCTATGAAACCTGATGTACTTATATGATTCTGTTTTCTTCAAGGTTGTGTCTTCCTGGTCGAATGTACTTATTGTAAGTCGCTTTGGATAAAAGCGTCAGCCAAATGCAATGTAATAATAATAATGTAATAATATGTGTGTGTGTGTACGGCGGGCATTAGGCGTGCATGACGGGACGAGTTGTGTTCGTATGTGGAAAAGTCATACTCAGTGCGGTGAACACTGGCTTTATTGCTACTGTATCCGTAGCACCCCACGCAATAGTTGGGACTGTGTACTGACGTCAGTAAAAAAGGTGTGCCCCCCCAAGCGCAAATGTCAAACTCCGCCTATGGCCCTGACACACCTACCCGATTTTGGGAGTCAGAGGCAGTCGGGCATTCGCGGCGCCCTACTCAGGTTGGTGTGTCCCGTCGTTGCTTTACGGCATATTTTCACACCTTCCGCGGCCGATTCAACATGTTGAATCGGCCAAAGAAAGTCGGCGAAAGAAATCACTCTGATTGGCTGTTGCCTCTTTTGAATGACGAATACACACTACCGCTGCCTGCTGGTAAGGACAGTTATTGCCACTCGTCGACTGAAGTCTTTGCGTGTGTTCGTAGGCGGGCGGCGTAGCCGACTCAGGCGACGTAGCGGACGTAAAAGTCGGGACGCCTTCGGTTCCAGGCAGGCATTTGGTGTGATCACCATAGGCCATAGCCATATGAGGCCGGACTCGGAGGGCTTTCCTTTGCTTCCAGCTGTCAGATTGTAAACCAAGTCACGTGACTAGGGGCAGATGACAGCACTGACAAGTTGTGTTTTATCGCAGTGAGATGCTACAATACTAATTGTGGGCTTATCATGTTGATTCGGCCACAATAGAAAGCAACAAATGGCAAACGGGCTGTTGCCCGGGCAACATTAGCCCCTACCTGTGCACGTCCCTGCTCTGATGTATCTTATTTGATTATACTTGTCAAACTATACAGAGTCTGACATTTGTTATAGTTTTTTAACAACTTTTCCAGCCCTCTCTTACTTTGGAGTTGTAAACTTCTGTTGTAGTAGTTGTGGGCACAATTGGTACACCTTGCTCCCTCCACCCCTTCTCTGCACGGGCATTGTCCGGTCCACATATCACATACACTCTCGGGCACAGTGCCATGGGTGTCACACACACACGGCAGACAGCCCAGGGAGTTTCGCTGCTCCAATGTATGGTAACCATGAAGGCAAACTTCACAGAGCCGGCCTTCCACATGTTCCTAAAAAAGAAAGGAGAAGTCGAGAAGGAGGGATGTTAAGTGTTAAGTAGTTGTATACACTATAAGTGAACACAAAAGCTGTCTGGATAAGAATTGCCAATAACGTATTGAACAGGTTAGTTACTAAATAAATCACAACTTGTCTTAAACCGATGGCATTGGCATTGTCTATTTGTCATTTGTTTTCTGATCAGATGCCACATTGTAAATAGAAAACATGAGAAGAGAAATGGTCCAGAAGGGTCACTTGCTGCCTGATGATAAGCGAACATTTCATCATTTGACATGGATATATCAGAGTAAGTGTCTCTACTCTTCATCTGCACAGTTAAAGAAGGCTTCCAACAAAATAATACTGTACAAAATAGAAACCCTTTATCTGACACTTTGTCCTTATCCCTGTAGTGTATGTAGCCCATGATTTCTGTTGCCTTCTTCAGTTAAAAAACTAGACAGCTTTTTATTTTTATATTATTATTATACTACTCCAGTTGCTTGATATCTTACAGTAAATGTATGTATTCGGTTTCCTTTGTCAGAATGTAACTGTTATTCGTTGACCACCAGAGCCATTGCAAGCTGGAAACCCCAATGGTTGACTTTACATTTAGTAATAATAATAAAGTTATAAATACTTGTTAACTTGCCTTACACACACACTGTCCTGTGTGAGGATCACAGTCTGTCCCAGGTGCGGTCCCTTCTTGTGAGCAGTTGCAGGAGGCACAGGATCCCTCCAGTCGTAAACCATATGACCCCCTGCCACAAGAATCACAGCGCTGCCCCCCCACCCCGGGCTTACACTCACACTGCCCCCCCTCAGGCTCACAGTACGGGCTGAAGGAGCCCAGGGGGTCACAGTCGCATGGGACACAGCCGTCTGGGTGGGACAGGTTCCAATAACCAAACTCACAGCGGTCACAGGAAAGACCTGCCAAAGAAAAAGAGAAAAAAGAAAGGGGTGGGGGGGCATTTATAGAAATGTTGCGGAGAGTACAGAGTGATATTTTGAGAAAACCAGAAAGGAAATAGAAATAAAGTGAATTAATGTTTATTTGTGTGTGTGTGTGTGTGTGTGTGTGTGTGTGTGTGTGTGTGTGTGTGTGTGTGTGTGTGTGTGTGTGTGTGTGTGTGTGTGTGTGTGTGTGTGTGTGTGTGTGTGTGTGTGTGTGTGTGTGTGTGTGTGTGTGTGTGTGCGTGTGTGTGTGTGTGTGTATGAGAGAAATGGTGTGTGAGTGTATAAAACTGCCATCATTAGGGCCAGGCCCTCTAGATATGATGGATCACTCACCTAAGGCCAAACACTTAATTTCACTGAGCGGGAAAATAAATAAATTAAACAACTACAAGAATAGGATGGAGGGAGAGAAAAAGACGAGATCGGGAGACGAAAAGATGGATAGAGGAACATAAAACTAAAAACAAATTGGTGTAGAAATATTTTTTTTTTACTCTGTTCGATAGTATAGTACTTAAAGAATAACAATCTAATTATACTTGTGGCTAAATTATATTTTCAAAATGACTAATTATTAACAGTTTTCACAATATTTTTGTTTTGTAAAACATAAAATCCAAGAATGCAAAAATGCAGCTTATATTAAGGAGTTAAATATGAAACTTTAAGAATTGTTTACTTTAAATATTAACATCTATAAAGATTTGTAATGCCAGAAACTAGCCTAGCAGTAAAGAATGTGAAATGAACCGATAACAGTATCACTTCAGTTGCTGCTCTTTTTATTTTATTTTTTATAATTATTGAATAATTACAAAGACCAAAACTGTGGGAAGTTTTATGGCTCCAGCAGCAGTGCCCGGCTATAAGGCCAGTTAAACTATGATATGCAGTGTGAGCGAGCAGGGCTTATTTGAATATGCCATACGTATTCCATGACAGGCAATCTGTCCCTAAATGGATGCCTGGGGGCAGCGCAGTCACCACAGCCGTTTATGAGGGAGCGTGTGTTCATGTGCGTGGGTGAAAATGTGTGTGTGCGCTCATACATTTATGACAGAATATCTGCACATCTGTGTTAGTGCACATGTGTGTGTGTCCTACTCAGTGTGCGGCAGACACTTGGCATTTCCCCTGGTCTGCCCACTTTAATGATTTTATAGATATGAATGTCTTCCTCTCCCTAGATCATATTTCATAATAGAGCAGTGTGTGTGTTGAGGTATGTGTACACGACTGAGTGTACTCAAATGCAGAAAGACAGAATGATTCTTACAACCTGAACAATCTCGTAATATATTGTTTTAGATTTGTTTTTTTGCCAATAAAACTACAGTTTATTAAAAACCACACACCCACTATAAGTAGTGATAATATGTTCCATTCATATTTTACACATTAAGCAGCACAAGTTGGCATTTGCGAATCCTATTTTTGCTGCTAATCTGTTGATAGTGAATTGCACAGTCCTACTAACACAATAGAAAAAAGTGAGAAGAGAGAAGAAGAGAAAGAAAAATCAGAAGACAATAAAAAGGAAGGAAAGGTGAGAACAGAATTTGTTAGAACAAATTAGATCAGGGCAGAAAGGAGGTAATTTTATGTTTAGGCGTGCGTGTTTGCCCGCGTGCATGTGAGTGTGTGTTTTCGGGACATGGCCCAGCCCTTTTATCAGTAGCCAGCTGGTTAACAGGCTCATGCATCACCATTTCAAACACTATTATGAACACACTGCACTCTGGCACCTTGTTATGAATGTGCATGTGTGTATCTGTGTGCACACATTTCAATTCCCTCCTTCTGAAGCGTGCCTGCCATTGCTCTACTCAAAGTATCAGCTTGGCGGTAATAAATTGCCATAATCAAATCTCATTTCTGGAAAAATACCTGTGGGAGCAACCAGACAAACAAGGATGGAAAAAACCGGAAAGTGGGTCTTGCAAGACGGAGTGTGAAAAATACAAGGGGCTGCAGCAGTTTGTTTTAATCAACTTGGCATTGAATTAGAGAATTAAATACCAGCTTAGTCCTTGATGGCATTCATGTGCACGCACACACACACACACACACACACACACACACACACACACACACACACACACACACACACACACACACACACACACACACACACACACACACCACACACACACACACACACACACACACACACACCCACACACACACACACACACACACACACACACACACACACACACACACACACACAAAAACTTACAATCTTACAATACAAACGTTAGTCTAAGACTAAAGTAGATGAACATACGGTCACATCCAGGCACTTTCTCTTTTACATACACATTAACATAAAAAAAGACACACATTAACAAGTTCAGATACACATTCCCGCACACACACGCACAACCGTGGGCCCTTGATAGCGAAGCTTAGCAATAACCATGATGCGTTGCGTTGAGGAGCGTTGACCGGTTTTGCATTTCATACGAGCCTGCTCTTCAAAGACACCCAGGGGAGAGAGTGAAACCATTTATCACAAAGAGAAGCACAACCACTGGAAGCACCCCCAGCAGAAAAGCCTGTTTATTTTGGCTGGCAAAATACTTTGGGATGTGTGTGTGTGTGTGTGTGTGTGTGTGTGTGTGTGTGTGTGTGTGTGTGTGTGTGTGTGTGTGTGTGTGTGTGTGTGTGTGTGTGTGTGTGTGTGTGTGTGTGTGTGTGTGTGTCTATGCATGTGATTTCGCCTGTGTGTATACAAGTGCCTGATTCGGTCTGTGCACCGAGTACTGTATATCTCCTTTTTTGTGCACCCAAATGAGCAGCTGTGCCTTTGTATTAATTAGGATGCAGTTACTGGACAATTTGAAAGAGTAACTGAATTAATGAAAAGTACAAGTTATCAACAAAGTACTTAGGTACATTTTGTGAAAGAAACAATTTACGAGAGCACATTTGGAGTGGACATGATTGCGGCTGTGGTAACATACTAGGGCCTGAAGATATTGTTGATATTGACCTTAAGAGTTTCATCTTAATTAATTAAACCCCTACTCAAAATGAGGATGCCATGCTTGTATAGGTGGAATTTAGGGAGATGGTATGAAATTCCATGCTTGTTACACTGCCTCAAAAAGTGTATTGACAGCAGGAGGACATACACAGCTCTGGCACACATGATTGTTGAGAAATACACCACAAAAGCAGTGGCAAACAAACATCAAATATGTTGTTTAGATACAATTCATTTCTCACAAGAATCTCAGAATTCATGTTTTATCTGAATTGTCTGTTTACCTGTGACATGGAGTTTACACTGGCAGAGTCCTGTGTACGGGTTGCAACTGTGATCTCCTTCTGTTGCGTTGTTGATGATGCCAAGGTCACTGCAGTTACAGCGGGTGCAGCCGTTTGGATTCGAAGCGGTAAGACCGTACCATCCAGATAAACAGTCTGTACACCGACGACCTGTTACTGCGACCTTACACTGACACTGACCTCCTGCCTGCACGCCAGAAATAAAGAAGAGAAGAGGGACAGGCAAAAACAAGAAGATTTTCAACCAGCCTGAAAACGTTGAAATCACATAATTGAAATGTAGGACCCACTCGTCACCACCAGTTTGCTGTTTGTGTTGGGTGTACCTCGGAGCACTCCTTGCTGCTGTTGACTGTTCCAGCAGTGTTACAGTTGCAAGGTTGACACAAATCCCCTGAAGTGGGATCAGATTCCTCCAGCCAGAAAAATCCACTTCTACACAGCTCACAGTTTTTACCTGAGAGACAGAAAGAGAGTAAGATATAGAGCAAGAAAGTCAAATGAACAGGTACAATTCCTAAAGGGATCCAGGGAGATATTCATGTCAAAGACCATCCTTTTTGGCTTCATTAGGAAAGTCATCATAAAAAGGTGAGTGACAAACACTTGAGCAAGGCACATAGGCTAATATGAAATACTTCATAACCATCTTCCAAATGACCACTGCCATCAATTCCAAATTAGTTTTATAATAGATAATACCCCATAACCTTCTAATTTCACCTATTACTGCAGAGAAGGCCTTAAACAGTAAGGATAAGGCATCCATTTACAGTATATGTATTTGTTAAAACTATCCAATACTAAGTTGTGTCGAACGGTATTTGTCTTTATCTGTTTTGAGAAAAATACAACACTTTTCTCTTTACATGTGGGTTTTCTCCGGAAGTTTTTCCTTGTACGATGTGAGGGTCTAAGGACAGAGGGTGTCGTATTGTCATACTGATATTTTGTACAAACTGTAAAGTCCACTGAGACAAATGTAACATTTGTGATATTGGGCTATATAAATAAACATTGATTGATTGATTGATTACATGGCTGGCTAAATGTACAGAAATAACATATATATCAGCATAAAGACGTTTTTTGGCTCAAAATCTTGAAATAATAAAAAGGAATTGTGAAGGATTATGACACACGGTCTTTAATTGTTTCAAAGTTCTTTAACTTTAAGGTTGATTGAAGAGACATACTGTATGACATTTTACAAAATGTTTCTATAAACTTTGAATAAGATAATTATATAACTTGTATTGCTAACCTGTGGTGTTGTGCATGCAGTGGTCACAGACCCCTCCTCCTCCTCGATAGTGCTCATCAGGCTGTTCATCGACTCCCTCATCGTAGTGACAGGAGAGGGCGTGGCCGTGACACTGACAAGGCCGGCAGTTCATAGGCTGGAGCTGGTCACCTGACCTGAATGGCTTGTCATTGTAGAGAGGCGCACAGCGTTGGCACTGTTAAAATAAAAGCCACATACTGTTTATAAATACGGAAATACATTTCTTTATTTGTGTATAAGCTAACATACTGTTTGTATCTATAAGCTACCAAACTGTTTGCTGCAAAAATTATTTCTAAAATAATCAGACCTTTGTTTTAACCCTAATGATTGCAATCAGAGATGCAAGTTTACACAGATACAATACATTTAAATGAATAACAGTCTTGGTGGTTAGAGATTATGAATGTTCACAAGCATTCATATTAAGCAAAGACATTTAGAACATGTCGTAAAATGGTCCCATGACAAGTAAAATGCTTGCTTCAATAGAACAAAGACAGATAAGACGAAAAGAAGAGAGAAAGAGAAACACAGAAAGAGACAGAGGGGGGAATGGAAAGACAGAAGACTCAGCGGCCCGTGTCAATCTAAATCTAAAGAGAGAGAATAATAATACCCATAACTGAATAAAACAAGGAGGAATGTATTCTTTGCTATATAATAAAGAGCCAGTACAGTTAGACACACACATGCACAAACGCACACACACAGCATAGGGAAATCGGACTGCTAATGAGGAGTGACTTGCAACAGCCAGGCCCACTTTCATGTCAAAATAAACATACCAAGGTGTGTGAAGGGGGGGAGGAAGGGGGAAAAGTGACATCAAAAATGTATTTTTCTGTTGCAGAGAGCAGCAACGGCGAGAAGCAGCAAGTACAAGCCCTTTGATTTTGTTCAGCAGTCAGTACAAATTATGGTGGACAAGGGGGGCATCAAATGGCGGGATTAAAAATGTATTAAAAAACACAGGAGTTCCTCCCATGTGTGACACATGCAGACCTGCACTGGGCCCATTATGTATGACACACAGAGGAGGGGGGAGCCAGGGGGAGGGAGGGGGAAGGGTAGAGTGAAGATGGAAATGGGGGGAAAGGCTCCTATTTTGTATATGAGAGAAAAGGGGGAGGAGGTAAGGGAACATGCAGGAAACTGATGTGAACAGAAATGATGGGGAAAATTCCTTTGTGTTTGAAAGATTAGGACTGGGGGGACAGAAAGACAAGAAACACAGAGAAAACAATCCACAAGTGTGTGAGTAAGGGATGTGGGGCGGAAAAGGAAGACAAAGAGAGAGATCAAAAATAAAATCATGTTAATACGTGAAGAAGACAAAAGGCCCCATGTGTTCTGGAGCTACAACACGACACAACGCTCAGGACCAAACATAGTCAAACACACAAAATCCAATCCAACAGTTTTTTGCTTTTAAAGGTTTCCATGTTCAGTGTTTTTCACCAAAATACAGTTTGTGTATCCTTGAGGTGGTCAAAAACTCAACAGGTTCTTTAAAGGTATGCAGAAACTCTTGTGTCACATAGCCATAACACAATTGTGTTTAATTCCTCACTGTAATATTATTACAGTAATTGAACTTATCCATATGTGTAGACTACATTATTTTGTAATATATTTACCAGGTAATGTAGTCCTTATTTTTGTGACTCTAAATAACAGAATCAGAATGTTGTTGTTGCCATGGCCAACGAAGCATTTTGAAAACAGTAGCAGGAAAGGGGACTGTCTGCTTATTTACAAAAAATATTTAAGAAACACTTCCTCTCTACCGAATGAACAACATCTAAAGGGTTTGAGGGTTTGCATTTCTGTATGTTTGTGTGTGTGTTGGTGCATCTGTGTGTGTGTGTGCATCCAGAGCAGTGGTTCCCTGTGGGGTGATTATTAACAGGATATAATGAAGCAGCAGGAGACTCTCAGGAGACAAGATGCACACACTTACCAACAAACACAAACACAAGAGTCAAATAGAAACATGTGAACACACACACACACACACACACACACACACACACACACACACACACACACACACACACACACACACACACACACACACACACACACACACACACACACACACACACACACACACACACACACACACACACACACACACACACACACACACACACACACACACACACACAGTGAAGAGTTTGTCTTGAAACTCCACAGGAGTGTTGGTTGTTTGCATGTTACTGTTTGCTCTGTCTGTCATGCTGTTTGGTGTTGAATATGAAATCAGACTAACAGTAACTTTGTGACTTCCTGTTTGTCCGTGCTGCTTTTCCACTTCTGCCCATCTGTCTTTGTAGTTGCCCGTGTGTCTCTCTGCAGCTCTTTGCCCGAAACGTTTCACATATCAAAGGTACTTTTCTTTCTGCACTTCGAAAAGGAAGGCTCTCACTAGATCTCACTCTTCATCCGCTGGGGATGCGTTGAAGAGCGAGATGTACTCCTCTCCCATATCTCCCTCCCTTTTCATTCCTCTTTCGTCTCCTCTACCTCTGTGCCTCCTCGTTCTTCCCACCCTTCCTTCCTCTTCCATCTCCTCTCTTTCTGAAAAACAAATCACTCTGTACATCTCTCCGGGCTTCCCACCTCTCCCCTTCCTCACTCTCTTCCCCCTGTCTCTCTACCGTCCTCCAACCGCTTGTTCTCATAGCCACGGTGAGTATGTGAGCAGGAAATATTACCATACCAAATGAAAGGGAGAGGATTTTTTCTTCCTTCTCTTTTCTTTTCATTCAACATTGCGTTACCTTCCCTCTCTCCCAGCCTGCTAATTAGTCGGGGGACTGGTGTTTGGGAGTTAAAAGGAAACGGCACACGTTCATTCTCTTCTTCATACAAAAGGTTTTGATGGCGCTCCATCATCAGCAAATAGTACCAGCGGCTAAAAAAGGACAGCGCATACTAAGGATCGAATGTACATGGTTTTGATTTAGATTTTAATTGTCTTTCTGCAAATGTCCAGTCTTCTTTAACACATTTTCTAGCTTAAAACATTCCAAAACCAAGAAATTGTATTTTTACCGTGTGGTTCAAAAACACTTTCATCGCTACTTATTGATAGTCTGACTCTTGACTCTAAAATCTTTGTTACAAGCAAACGGCCATATTATGTTCATGTTGAAGTCCATTTTTTTTTACAAACAATTAGACTAGACTTCAGACATAAATAAGCTAATTGTGGCAGCACAGGACGTAAATAATGATATTATTATACTTCTACAAATATAACCAAATGTCTTGAAAGTTTGGTTTAATGTATAGAAATGAATGTGTGCTGTGTACTCTGTTGCAGAGTAAAGAATAACATCTTATGTTCACTCTGAATGTTCCGACAAAACCTGCTGAGTGAGGAGCCTTCTTTAATGGATATGTGGACATTCAGATGGCCTGTCACTAGCGTGTGTGTGTGTGTGTGTGTGTGTGTGTGTGTGTGTGTGTGTGTGTGTGGTGTGTGTGTGTGTGTGTGTGTGTGTGTGTGTGTGTATATGTGTGTGGGTGTGCGTGTTAATCTGCTGGGGCAACTCATCTTATCCTAAATGCCATGACCAATTTCACGCTCTCACTGGAAAGGTCGTGCCACTGGCGTGTGTGTGTGAGCATGTTTGTGTGTACACACCGGTGTTGTGAGTATCTGAAGTTAACCCGGTTAACCCCAGCGTAGGTGAAAATCTGCTGCTGAGGCAGACTTTAGCAACAGAGACCCTGGACAACGCTACTTAACGTCACGAGCCATCAATATCTATCCCACACACAGATGGAAGCACAGACACACGCCTTTTTCAGAACTGATATATAACATATACAGCCCAAACAATCTCGAATATAAACATACACACAGGCACACAAACATTCACACAAATTGTTCAAAAATGCAGCTGTACAAAGCGTTATGTAACCAAGACCAAGAAAACTCAAGTTGTCTAAAAATACATTTAAGGTGGGTTGTCATTGCATCTTACTTTTTGTAACACTTAAATCGGACATCATTGAATCTGGAAAGAGGCTATTTCGAACCGTAAAAAGACAGGGGCATGTACAACAGAAAACTGGGCTTGTGACGTGATGTACAATATAATGTATGATATATCTTTCAGACATGACTGAATCCATCAGCTGTGGAGAGACAGAGTGACAGAATGAGAGATCAACTCCGACACAGAGTGCACAGAAGAAAGAATCAAAAGAAAGAGTGAAAAGTGGGCGCGGGTGTGTGCGTTTGGGTGCACGTGTGTTTAAGCATGTGTGAGAGAGTTTAAGTGTGTGTCTTCCAAGGCCCCCGTTGATCATCTTGACACATGTCTGAGCATTTCTGTCACTTTAATGTCACTGTGGAAATTCTGCAGATTAGTACAACATCCGTCATGGTGCCGGGCCGATCCAAGTCAACAGAACGCATGCAATATTAAACGCTAATATTCCCCACAGCCTTTTATGCTCCAATATTACAGAGACAGAAGGAAGGTCCTGAATATTCACTCAGAGAGATGACATGGACAGGTTTGGGAGAAAAGTGCATACAGAGGCACACAGACACACACACAGGCAAAAATGATCACACAAAAAAGACTCATTACAGTCTATATATACTGTCTTTCACAGAAGCAGAGCTCTAATAGTATCATTGACATAAAACACACACACACACATATATATCCATATTTCTTATTTCCATTGCATTTCTTTAACACAAAAGAACTACTGTACGTACGAGTGAGAAGAACATAAACAGATAGGGAGGATGGAAAGACATGAGACAGAAATAAAAATGGAAATAAGAGAGGGATGAAACATGAGAAACCGAGTCAGATGGGAATGAATTAAATACTTAGAAAGCGAGGCAATAAAGAGTGAGGGGGAGTAGAGAAAACGGCTGAGTGAAATGAAGCGAAAGACAAACAGAGAAAGAAAGAGAGCTGATTAGAGATGCATGCTGAGGGAATGTCATTGTTCTAGTCGATTTGAGACATTATTTAAACTAAGACCCGGGAGAGAAATACAGAGTATGAGAGAGAGAGAGAGTGATCGACAAAGGGAAGTGGATGGCGGTGGGAGTGGGATGTATAAAAGGAGAAATTCAGATGGTGAGAAAGACAAAAATAGACCCCTGCATTGGTCTGGAAGGATGGCATAAAAATGACTTGTTTGTGTGTGTGTTTAGAAATGCCTCTATGAAAACTTTTAGTCTGTAGTTCATATAAGAAAACACAACTATTAAATGCAAGGGTGTGCGTAGGAGGATGATGGTTATTTGAGTTTGAGAGTACGCAAGACAGGGCAATTGAACAGCTGCTTGTTGACAGCTGTACTTCTCCACTGATGTCCTCTGTCGCCTCTGTATGAAACACACTCACACACACGCGCGCACACACAACCTAATACACAAACGCAGGTGTATGAATGATACATAGGTGGTGAATTATGCATGCTGTCCTGTGCTACAGTGAGATGGAGCAGTCACACTGAACTTTTCACTGCTGACCGACTACAGGCTCTGTCGGGGAGATGCCCACTTCTGTCTGCCACAATGGGTTTGCTCTCCTGCGAGCAAAGGCCTGGTTCTGAGGCCGTGGTTAACATCAAACCGAGACTGAAATCAAATGATAAACTCACATCCTGCAGCATATCAGTGTGTGAGTACTCCCTATGGCATCATAGTTTTGGTTTAACTAGAGAATGCCACAAGATTAAATAAGTAACTGTGATCAGAAACAAAATCATATCAGCTGTGGCAGAGGCTTTTCACCTAAAAATAATGAACCCAATAATGACATTTTAGCTCAAATTCAAACCAAGAGCTGGTTGACGTATTATTCCATGAATGCACACGTGTGTCAAAGTTAATCACACTCTATCATTGTGTGAACACAAAAGCAAACCACATTAAAACTTCAAAGTTAGCATGAAGACAGCTGAGTTAAAGTGTTTCCAGGCAAGGATATTTGAAAGCAAGAGAACACTATTAGACTAGATTAAAGTTTTGGATTAGAAAAGTGACATACTGTAAATCTAATCCAAGACAACACATATTCAGTTATCATAAATCACACAACCCATACACGAGTTCGGCGCCAACAAGGCTGATGTCAGCTGTCAGTTATTTACAACTTTGACAGCCTCCAGTTTATTACCTGATTTAGCAGTCTGACCGCACTGATAGCTGTCCATTAACAAAAACGTCAGGTGCAACGCAGCACCGCCTGGCACTGCGGGTATACAGCATGTGTCCAAAAGCACAGCAGCACTTAAATCCACTCAATCAATTTCTCAGCAATGACAAATAAAACCCAAGAATAAAACTCGACGAAAAATAAGAAGGAACATATATTTAGCAGCAGGGAATGAGATGTACTGTGTGTGTGTGTGTGTGTGTGTGTGTGTGTGTGTGTGTGTGTGTGTGTGTGTGTGTGTGTGTGTGTGTGTGTGTGTGTGTGTGTGTGTGTGTGTGTGTGTGTGTGTGTGTGTGTGTGTGTGTGTGTTATAAGAAAAGTATCCTTTATATCATCAATAAGTAAACCGCTTAATTAAGACCATAAGGAGATTCTCCCCAGGGGGGCTCCTCTTTTTTAACTGTTTGTTTTTATATGCTTGAACTTGAAATGAATGAACACTGTATGTGGATCTAACACTGATTGTGATATTTGGGAATACAAATCTACAGAAAAGACAACTCAGTGAAAAACAAACTATGCATTTGAGTAGAAGGAGCTTGTGTGGCAACATGACCCTATAAAAACCCTTAAAACGTATACTGTATCAGACACTAACTTACAGGGTGTGTGAGGTCTTACATCACAGTTACAAATAGGGTTAAGAATACATGTTGTTTTTTATGATCATGTTTGTAACTCACATTGTTTCCCTCTGTGTGGCTCCCAGGCAGACACAGACAGCGGTAGGGCTTCCCACTGGTCTCACAGTGGTCTGCATGGCCGTGACACTCACATCTGGCCAGATGATAAAGGGAAGAAAGGAAATATAAACAAAACTGCAATGTACAAACTATTTTTGTTACAATGAAAAAAAGTAGTTGAATCAATAAAAAGGTAAGCAGAAGCATGACAGAAGCTCCCTCTCCTTCAAACGTTCTGTTGCTACTTCCTCCATCTCTCCATGGAAATGCAGCAGTGCCATTAAGAAGTTCCCAGTCAACATTTATAAATGCCATCCTGAGAATTATCAGAGCAACCTAACAGGTGGCAGACAGCCCCGTCTTTCTCCCACACACACACACACACACCACACACACACACACACACACACACACACACACACACACACACACACACACACACACACACACACACCACACACACACACCACACACACACACACACACACACACACACACAACACACACACCACACACACACACAACACACACACCACACACAACACACACACACACACACACACCAACCACACACACACACCACACACACACACACACACACACACACACACACACACACACACACACACACACACACACACTACAACACACACACACACACACACACACACACACACACACACACACACACACACACACACACACACACCAAAAATTAGATTATATTTATCAATTTAAAACAAAAATAAGTATCTTACTCGTGACCCTTTAAGTTCTAACTGTATACTGAGCCTTTTAGAAAGTTTTAATATATATTTTTTATCCCATTGTCTTTATAGGAGCCCTTTATTTTAATACCGTCTGAAGATTGAAACTGGTTAGAACATCCAGTAAAGTTGACCTTTTATATTTTTTGCAAAAAGACAATAACAAATAGGTTTTAAGAGATGTTCAGTATGTGGGCTGTTAAATGGTCTCCCTGTTGTTTGAAAGCCTGCCTTCGGCTGCAAGCTACTTAAACTACGGAGAATGCAGGGATCCCCACACACACACACACACACAGACACACATATATTGCAGGGCTGTCATTTAATTATTAATTTAGCTATTCAGTTGCTTGTTCCCTTTCATTCTTCCCCTGTGTATCCTCTCACCTCTTGTTCTTATAATGCCACTTTCTGTTTTGAGCTTAATAGATGAAAGCAGATAAGACTTTCACTTTATAAAATCAAATAAAAAAGATATTTTTCATATGTTGGGAATTGACAAGTCTCAAGCCTCATTAACAATGACATAATCACCAATATCAAAAGTGAAGTAAATTATAGTTCTCATTCATAACACTCCGTTCAATGTCTCACTATGGGATGCGCCTCATCGCGGAGCAAACAGAAGCATCAATCTCATTACGCCAATCCTGATTGGCTGGTGATCTTGACGTCAGCCTCAGGGAAATCACCCCCTATAAGTAGCTTGCGCCACAACGCATGCGCCATTCAAACACCTCTTCTCGCTTCAGAGCACATCTCTATGGTAGCCGGACAAGCTTCACGGTCCACAGACTGAACCCAAATATCCATTTCGGTCGACGGGGCGCTTGCCGGCTACTCCTTCTGCTTCGCAGGAAGACGGTAATTACTAACGCTAGTTATTGTTGAAATCGACCTCGCCGCTCTCTTTCCCCCGGAAAGTAAGCTAGGTCTGACTTATTTCAAGCTAGCGTTAGCTTGCTCCCTCCACTACCGACACCACGGTAGCGAGGAAGTCTTTTTCTTTTCTCTTTCCCCACGGAGGAGGAAAGGATTAAAAGGAGCATACTGCCACACAGTCAGTATTCCTCTGGGAATAAAAGACCCACACCGTCCTTTTCTCCGGATTAAGGACAGGGTGGTTACCTCTTTTTCTCCCAACCTACCTGTTGAGAGCGGGTCCTCTCCACGCCACGAGGCGAACAAGATGGACGCCCCTCTCCCTCACACCAGAGGAGTCAGGGACGCGGGGCTCGACTCTGCGGTGCGGGTTGAAATCTCGGGCCCACACACCAGGTCTGCTCGTCTTCCCCGCGCCCTGGCAGGCCGGGACCCGGTGGCGGCAAGACACGCGGGAACGGGACCCCACGCTTTACCGAGCTGGGGCTCCCGGTTAGACCTCACCATGGTCTCACCCGCGGAGGATGTCCTCGAGCTTAATACGACGAGACGAAGAGGACGCCTCGGTGTTCCTCCTGTCCGAGTCGGATGAACATGAAGAGGACATCTTCATGTCATTGGCTCAGGCTGCAAAGCCTGGAGCGAGGGCTGCTCTCCCAGACGATAGCACACCAGCTTCGCCCTGTCTGAGTATGGACCTGCAGGCCGTGTGCAAACGCGCTGCGGCCAGACTCGACATCCCGTGGCCTGAAATGGCCAAGGAGACCTCCAGGTCCCGCTACGAAGGGAAACATTTTCCCCAAGCAGCGCGGACAAAGAGACAACTCCTTCCGGTCTTCCCGGAGATGTTGGATGAGGTGTCGGTCTCGTGGAGAGACCGGCCCTTCAGCAACAAGGTCCCAATCCAGGGTGCCTCCTCCCTAGACTGTGACGGAATGGAGAAGCTCGGCCTGCTCCGCATACCGCCCATGGAACCGCTGGTAGCAGCCCACCTCCTACCGAGGATGGGCCCGTCACCAAGCAGGAACCCCACGCTGCCGGCAAAGTCGGACCGATTTCAGTCGACAATGACTGAACGGTCCTACAAAGCCGCAGCGTTGTCCGCCAGGGCCCTGAATGTGGCCTCGCTGCTAACCGCTTACCAAGCGGAGCTCTGCGAGGACCTGTCGGGTAACCCGGGGGCAGCCACTCTGGACGAGATGGCAGCGGTCACAGACATCTGTCTCCGTGTCCAACGCTGCGCCGTCCAGGCCACAGGTAAGGCAATGGGGATCATGGTGGTGCAGGAAAGAGCGAGATGGCTCAACCTCACCAACCTCCCAGACCGGGAAAAGGAGGATGTGCTGGATATGCCCATCGTTCCCGAGGGAATTTTCGGCTCCGCTCTTGCTTCCATGCAAAAGAGGTTGTGAGTCGAAAAAGAGGGAGGACTAGGCACTCCACCTCTGCCTCCCTCGAAGGGTCCCAGCCGCTGCTTCGCAGCAGTCCTTCGCAGCAGCAGTCCTTCGCCCAAGCTGCCTTGAACCCTGCTCGGTTTAAAACACCGAGAACGCAGAGGTCGCAGCCCGCCCCGAGTCCCCAGCCGAGGCTGGAGACGAGGGCGAGCTGGCCCAGAAAATCTCCGGTTCCGGCTGCAGCTCAGGCGCAGCCAACCAAGAATTTCGGCCAGCAGGCGAGGAAGAAGAAGCGAGCGGCGTGACAGCCCCTCCTTCTCCCCTCCGTGACAGAGCTGGAAGTCCACGGTTCCCCAGCTCTAAATGTGTTCCCGCCGCCTCGAGAGATGCCTCAACACCATCCTCAAGTCCGCAAAAACACATGTCACAAATCTGTTTGTTCCTCTGTCATTAAACATTTGCCGCTGACGCATCCAGGCTTCAGGCCGAGGGCGCAGCTCAAAAAAATGATAAGAAAAACAATAAAACCAATAAACAGCCCGTCAACTGTTCCCCTTCTGAGAGCAGCTTCGGCATCTCTCAAAAGGCGGATTACAGGCGGGTCTGTGAAGGCACCACCGTCACGCGCATGCGCAGTGCCGGCTGGGGTTTTAAAAGCACCACCGCCACGCGCATGCGCAGTGCCGGCTGGGGTTGTGAAGGCACCACCGTCATGCGCATGAGCAGTGTCGGTGGGGATTGTCGAAAGGGGGCACCACTGTGTTCAGACACTAGAGGGCCCCATAACACAACAAATAGAGACTCAGAGGGGTAGAGATGTGACATCTCCACTGGCTCTAAGGAGCATGCAGTGGAAGATGCTCACATCATCTGCTTGGGTTTTCAAGACAGTAACACGGGGCTACAGACTCCAATTCGCTGTCACCCCCCCCTCGCTTCTCGGGCATTCTGCATTCGCAGGCCCCGAGGGAGTCAGCCCATATTCTGGAGAAGAGATTCTCTCTCTCCTAGAAAAGAGGGCTATATCTATTGTACCGCCGAGCAGAGTCAGGGCGGCTTCTATTCCAAGTACTTCCTCGTTCCCAAACGGGGAGGGAACGGAATTCGGCCAATACTGATTTGAGGGCTCTGAACAAATATCTAAGAAGATATAAGTTCAGAATGCTCACTCACACATCTCTGCTGCGGCTCGTGCGACAAGACGACTGGTTCACATCAGTCGACCTGAAAGATGCGTATTTTCAAATCCCAGTATATTACCCCACACAGGAAATATCTGAGATTCGCATTTCAGGGGATCTGTTATGAATACAGAGTACTCCCCTTCGGTCTGTCTCTCAGTCCAAGGGTGTTTGTACGATGTACGGAAGCCGCGATAGCCCCGTTAAGACAACAGGGTATTCGCCTGGCGACCTACCTGCGACCTGGCTGCTTCTCGCACAGTCGGAGCAGGAGGCTGTTACGCAGACAAATGTCCTCGTAAAGCACCTACTCAACCTGGGTTTCATAATAAACACAGAGAAGAGCATGTTGTGCCCCGCGCAGACTATACTCTTCCTGGGTTTACGCCTGAACTCGGTGCCCTTTTCAGCTCGCTTGTCAGCGGATAGAGTGAAAGCTTTCAGAGCTTGTCTCGCTCTTTTCCGGCTGCGCAAACATGTTCTCTTCAGATCATGCCTGCGATTGCTGGGGCTCATGGCGTCAGCCATCCTGGTCGTACGACTGGGACGCTTACACATGAGGGAGTTTCAGCGCTGGGTGGCCGCCCTAAAACTAAACCCCGCGCAGTGATGGTTACTGTGAAATGCATAATGGCACTGCGCCACTGGCTGCACCCGACTTTTCTAGTACGAGGTGTGCCTATGGGTGCTGTCCTTTCACGGAAAGTGGTCACCACAGACGCATGTCTGACAGGTTGGGGAGGTATTTATGAAGGTCGCCCGGTGAGGGGTCTCTGGAGCAGAGACCTCCAGCGGGCGCACATAAATTACCTGGAGGTTTTATCGGTGTTTCTCACCCTAAAACGCTTTCTGCCTTTCCTCAGGGGACATCACGTCCTCGTGAGGACAGACAATACGACCACAATATCGTATATTAACCGCCAAGGGGGTTTGCATTTTCTCCAGTTACACACACTGGCGCGCAAACTTATCCTATGGAGCGGTAGGCGTCTCCTCTCTCTGAGAGCGACGCACGTACCGGGAGTGATGAACCTCGGGGCAGATCTACTGTCCAGAGGTGCACCACTTTATGCAGACTGGACTCTACATCCAAGGATTGTGAGCCAGCTGTGGGTGCGTTACGGCAGAGCCGCGGTGGATCTGTTCGCATCGAAAGACAACGCTCAGTGTCAGCTGTTCTTTTCGATGCGCGATCTAAATGCACCGTTAGGCGTGGATGCACTCGTGCACAATTGGCCCCCGGGCCTTCTGTACGCGTTCCCACCCCTGGCTCTGATACCCCCAACTCTGGCCAGAGTGAGAGAGCAACGCCACACACTTATCCTGATAGCTCCGCACTGGCCAGCTATGTACTGGCTAGCGGAGATATATCAGCTGCTGTGCGGGCAGCCATGGCAGCTCCCACTACGCAGGGACATACTGTCCCAAGCGGGGGGGGGCGATCTTTCACCCACAACCCAGAGCGCTTGGCTCTATGGGCCTGGCCCGTGAGTGGTACAAATACAGTGTGACATGACGCTGACCCTGGCAGCTGCCAAGCGAGCCAGCGGCACTCATGCACTATCTGTACAGTCTTCATGCACTCAGTTTGCCCCAGGGCAAACAGAGTGTGGTTGAAGCCTGACCCTGCCTTTATCTTAAGGCGGTCGGTTCGGGTACCACATTTGACATTAAGGCATCCTCCCGGCCACTGTATTCCTCCGGGGAACAGCGGCCGGATTTGCCGTGTCCAGCCCGTGCTTCACGCACGTACAGGGACAGATCAAGGGTGCTTTGTCATAATGACCAACCCCTTGTGTCCTGGGCTAACCCTTATAAGGGCAAGCCTGTTACTAAGCAACGGCTCTCCCACTGGTCTGTGGAAGCAATTGCTTTGGGGCTCATACGAGTCAGAGTTCGCAGGCACCCTCGGGTCCGCGAGCTCTTTCGACTCAGAGTCTGGCTTGCATTCTGGACTCTGTCCAGGATGTCTCCCATCAAAGACATTGGTGCAGCGGCGAGCTGGTCCTCGCCGCTCACTTTGTCTGCCTCCTAACAGGTTGGACGTTCTGCTCCCAGTGTGACTCAAGCAGTGCTGGGCACCTGGTTGAGTCAGAGCTCTACCTGTTAAGTTCTGGTTGGTTTGGTGATTTTCGAGATAAGCTCGTCTGGCAATACGGGAGCTACAATTTCCCATAGTGAGACATCGAACGGAGTGTTATGAATGAGAACTATAGGTTCGTAACCCCAGTTCTCAGAGTAACATGAAGTGAGATGTCTCACCAGACGGCCCTCCTTGCTATGGTGAAGCGAGAAGAGGTGCTTATTTTGAATGGCGCATGCGTTGTGGCGCAAGCTACTTATAGGGGGTGATTTCCCTGACGCTGACGTCAAGATCTCCAGCCAATCAGGATTGGCGTAATGAGATTGATGCTTCTGTTTGCTCCGCGATGAGGCGCATCCCATAGTGAGACATCTCACTTCATGTTACTCTGAGAACTGGGGTTACGTAAGTAACCTATAGTTTTTCATCCAGCCCATACAGTACAACAAAATAAAGATTATTCATCTAGTGAAATAAACACAAAAACAAGACTGCCCAAAGAAACTTAAAGTGGACCTATCATACTATATTTGAATAATATATTGTAGGGCCATACGCCCCATACCTATATAAAACATGTCTGTGAATTTTTTTTTTCAAAATACCAAAACAGATCATGCATTTTAGCCATGCCTCATTTCGCTCTATTTGCTCTATTCCAGCCCTGTCTTCACAAGGGCTGATTCTGTGGCAAATGAGCTGCAGCTGACCACGCCCCCCTGCAAAGGAGGGGGGCGAGGCACGAGCGTCATGTTACCATGCTGTTACCATGCTGTTACCATGCTGTTACCATGCGGTTACCATGCCACGCAACCTCTCATTCCCCTGATAGGTGGAGAGTTGCCCATATAGGCGGAGCACCCCGTTTCTGAGTCAGAACAATTTCAAATCTGTATCAGTCTGTATCAGATCCGTTGCAGCCCCGTTTTTTGAGATTTGGGTATGGAAGAAAAGAGAGGGTTGTGTTTTCTGACACTTGGTGAGTTCCCTGACACACCGGGGACACATATTCATGTATAAAAGACGTACAAAAGTGCATTTTGCATGATAGGTCCCCTTTAACTTAGTCAATACAAAAGTAAGGCAGTTGAGGAAAATTGCTATAAAAAAGTGTCTCTACCAAAAGTCTAGCTAAACGTGGCTTCCCTTTTACAGCTGATGAATATGCCAAGCTGATATTGAACTGAGAAGGGATGCAGTTATTATTGGACAAATGAGGCCCATGAGTGCAGACAAAAACAAAAACATACACACTGAGGTTATGCTGGTACTCTCTCTTGCCAACAAGCATATTTACATGCTATAGACAGATAGAAGAGATATGTAAGAAGTATGAAAGAGAGGAGGGAGACTGGGAGGGATGAAGAATGCACAGATGAGATTTCAGCAGCTCCAAATCTTTGTTTCTCCACTTCACTGTAACAAGCTACTAATTAAAACAGCTTAGAGGGAGGGGGAGGGGGAGACAGAGTTAGAGATGATTGCCTCCTGCATAATCCTATAATTACCACAGTCATAAAAAACAGTCACTCTGTCAGTCTAATGAAGAGATGTGTTCACAATTACTCTCAGAAAGCTCTCCTGATACTCAACACACCGCGTCAAATGTTTTTTCTAGATGTCAAACTGTGCTCAGATATTTGAACATATCAACAGTGAAAAGATCTTCAAGTGTTACTTTTTCAACCAATTAAGCTGCTAAATAAAAATGGTGACTGGACTAACTGAACATTGGAATGATGCTACATATGGTGATTCCTCTGCATAAGCTCATATGAATGATTTGATGTATGACAAATCAAATGTTGAAAAAAATGTTTACAACATGACACAGATTTATATGTCCATAAGAGATCATTTATCTGCAAAAAAAACATCCACCAACATATCTCAGAAGCAGATAAGATTCAGTGGGATCTCTGTCTACATGTGTGTCCTCACCTGCCACTGATGGTGATCTCATTGATGGCATAGTATCTGTGTCTCTGGTTCACCCCCGCTGCCCTGCTGTTGGATTGTCCACTCAGGTGTATCCTGACCTGGGTGGCATGTGCCATCTTCTGCAGAGCAGGGGTGTTGTAGAAATCGTTATATCCCGGACGCAGGTTTGGCTCCGGGGTCAGCAGGCTGAATATGATGTTACCTCCTGAGAAGGGTAAATCGCTGAAACACAGAAACATAAACACACATTGTGCCAGTTATTTTAGAGGTATGTGTCTAGATCACCACTTTGAAAACAAACTAATCCAAGGGTTCGTTAGAAAGAGTAATTTACAATATATATTTGAGTAAAACTAATACATCTGAACTGATATACCAGATTGTTTAAACTATCAAATATAAATATAATGGTATCAGCCTTGAAGTCCAACATCATTCAGGAAATAGTGTCCAATAGAAAAACAACACAGCTAAACACACTATATGAGTGTGTCATTGCAAAGACAAAATCAACTTGACATCTACAGGCTTCTTTTTCCTTTTGTCTTAATTTCGCTCGCTTAAAATAAACCTAAAATGCAGCTGAAATCATAGACAACAAACAATTATACAGGCCGCTTATTGAAGCCCTTACCTCCTCCGATAATCCTGGGAGAGCACCGCCATTTAAAAAAATGAACCCCTAACAAATGGCTGCCACTACTGATATTTCATAGATGTTTTGGTGGTTGATTCCGAACACAGTGTTGGGTCAATAACCTTGTCAAATCATAAACAAAAAAGATGTACTGTAAAAAATACACTTATTTATGGATATACTTGCAGAATAACTACATTTCAGCCAGAACCCAGAGCACAAACCAAAATATTGTAAATCAAATGTGAATTGGCGCCAGTTCTACGGCTGTAATCGCTGATTTAACTCTGTGTGTGTGGGGTGCAGGAGCACCCCACACAGCACCCCACACACGTGAATCTACAGTAGGTGCAGCAGGTTCCAGCTCTTTCTTTCTATTGCTCTGGGTAATGCTTTTTATCTGACAAAAATACCTGTTTACTTGTTTATCTGTACATGTAGACAAGATGCAAAAGGATCACTTACAGCACTCCTGGAGCAGTACTGTAATTGACTGGTGTGAAAACACCTGAAAGACTGAGGCGTGCTTGAATTTATCTTGCCAGACACTCCAGCGGCCTCAGAGGAGGCAATGTCTCTTGTGGGATTAAATAAATCGTGCTAGATAAAAAACATAAATATTTCAAGATCAAAGACAGTGCTCTTTTTATCAACCACTAATGTCACAGAGGGTGTTATTATGTTGCCCATGTGAGGTTCAATTGCTCTCATGCCAAATTAACTAATACGTATAACAGTGCCAGGAAAGGTTGTATGTGATATAATTTGTCAATCAAGTGAAAAATAAGCAATGACTACATAATCTGTGATCTATTCATACCTGTTCTATCTAATGCCAACCAAGGCCTTGATATAAGCAGCTCTGCCAAGATTCAGTGTGTGAGATTGTGTGCATGTGTGTGTGTGTATGTATGTTAAGACTATGTTCCAAGGCCAGTTCTCCATCTAGTGCCAATGAAGAGCCTGTTACCGGCCATGTGCCAAAGCAGCACTGTAGGTGGTTAGCTTTAGAAACCTAGTCACTGAGAGCGTGCCAGGGTGTGTGTGTGTGTTTGTGTGTGTGCGTGTAAACTGTATATATGTGTTATGGGTATGTGTTTGATCTCCTTTGATTTCTTTTGACTTGTGTTCTGTGTGTGTGTTTGTACTTTTTTTATTGAGCGTTGCCAGTCATTTTTGTGTAATCTCCTCTACCATAAAGAGGCCATGACCACCCAGCAGCATATTCTCCTCTGGGGTGAATGCCACAAACAGTATGACAGACTGTTTGAGGTGTTTATTTTAAGTTTTCTCATGAAGATGATTAAAAGCAGTTTCAAACCGGATGATGATGCTTATTAAAATTCATTAAAAACAGTGCTTAGCATCCTGTTAATCACTAAATATGTGTTTGCCACAGAATTAATAATATGTTTTAGTTTTTAATTATAATTTGCTTTATCAAGTTGTTGTCCAGTCAAAAATGTAAACGCTTCAGGCAGCTAAAGGATTGTTCCCTTTCTTTGAGAGTGTAAAATGTAGCCTATTTTTTGGACTCGATTCAGTGATAAAACATATCAAAAGATGAGAAAAACATGTTAGGTCCTTGTTTTAAGATTGTGTAAACTTCAAAAATATTTACAGTGTATGATCTTTTTTTCTCTTTTTACCGCCAGGTCAATAATAGTGACTATTTTTCACACCCACTCAGCTGTGTATATGGTACCTACCTGGACAGCTGCAGACAGTTGACTGAGTCTGGCCTCAGCAAAGGCCCATTGTTCTGCATTTCAAACACACTGCAGTTGTTGGCCATATATTGCCAGTCCAACCAGGGCTGTTCTGTGGCAATGCCACTCTCAAGTTCTGCAATGTCAAGCCTCCGTCTTTGGATCAGAATGGACTCAGGCAGGAGCCCGCCAAACTGAACTATAACATAGAATATCTGGAGGAAAGGGGAATACAAGTTAGCATGAATAGAACCAGATGTGCAATGTACTGCAATCCAGAACAACAGAAATGCAATTAATTATTCTATACTATACTCACACTTTCAGACATATGTATTCACCTCTATGGTAACTTTTGAGGTCATAGTAAAAGGGGCATTTGTTTTGCATCAAATTATTTTGTTTAGTGGAATTCATTCGTAATGGTATTGAAAAACAAGAAAACAAATTGATCAATTACTGTTCATCGCATCAAATCACATTTTATGAAGATCTTGTGCAGTTTTAGTCTTGTTCAAATGGTAAAATGTGAGTGGTAGTAGTTTCCTATAGCACATGAACTGTGTGTGTGTGTAGGTGTGTGTATGTGTGTTAAGTGTTATCTGCCCCTCTACAGTGTGGGCTGGGACACTGGGTTACACAGCAGGGAGCGCATTAAGCCACCAGCACTGCGCAATCCCAAACACACACACACACAAGCGGAACTTCAGAAAGTGTCTTTTATCTGGGGACTTGAGTTGAGCTACCGCGTCAGGACAGCTCCCAAAATCCTGCCCACACTCACATACACACTTCAGAGAAAAGAGGGACGAGCCTTTTGACAGCCCCAGTGTCGTCAACGTCCAAATCCAGCAATATCTCTCTCTCCCTCCCTCCCTCCCTCCCTCTGCCCCCCCGTCTGTCTCTCACTGCAGTGCTTAGAGCGAGGATGAAACTACTGTCCACCACAGGTGCAAGCAGAAAGATACTACAGTGTTTGTGTAGTAGCATTTCAACTGTACACTCCACAACGATGGAATTTAGTTGACTGTCCAACCCACAGTTGCTAGCATTGAAGTCAGGGGGCTGATACAGTATTGAAAAGACACAATGATCCAAATAACCCTAAATCTGAGGGGGCCAACACACTTGTTATCCCACATTGCCTGACCACTGGGACCACGATCCCATGTGGATCTCATGCTCAGCGTTGGAATAAAAAGGATTGGATTAACAATCATTGGGATACTCTAACCTCATTGCACACTTTGACGCCCACTTCAAGCCCTCTTAATTGTATGTGTTGTAATAATGCTTTAATAAAGACAAGATAAATACAGCACTATGCATGCTTCTCCATTTGAATATTGATAGTTAATATTGCAGTGAGCACTTTAGAAATAAATTCTGTTTTACATGGTATATGAATTACAAGACTCCTTTATTTGTTAGTTATAATGTACGAGGTAAAAAATGCAAACCGGCATGAACGACCGCTAGGGAACAACTAGGGATTTGCTAGCTGTCTGTGTGGGGGCCAATGCTGTCAAATTATAATAATGGTGTGTTTAAACTCTGTAAGTGTGATTCAAACATATGTCAACAGAATATGTTGTCTATTGTAAGGATAGAACCCAAGGCCTGACAGATACAGGCTGGTATCCTTATTGTTAATTTTACTGGCTGATGTACATTTTCTGATAACAATACCGACATCCACACAGCATCATTGAATGATTAATTGATTTAATGACAAATTCAATTAACACACTTTCAGACTGAACTTAAAGTTAATATATTATATGTGTTACTTGCACTTGACACCAACCTATCTGTCTGTCATTGTTGTGAGATAATATATGCATTTGCTTAGTTGTGTGAGTGTATTTTTTAGATGCGTTACCTGGTATTGTCCATTCACCAAATCCACGGTAATAGTGAGTCCTTCATCCAGTTCCTGTGTAGTCATGATCTTAGAGAGCCATGTGGTGCCCATGTCCTGATCATTGATGTAACTGAGTGGATGGGCATTTAGGTTGAGTCTTAGGACTCTGTCATTGGTGGTGTCCTCAACACCATTGGGAATGCAGTATCTGTTAACAGTGACAATGTTTTTTTATAGGGTACTTTTTTTTTTTGGTGCAATTTCTGAACCCTCAAGAGTGAAACTTCAGAAACATGAAAAAAACATTTGTACATTACTGAAATGTTTAAATATGCAGTCATGTTATATTAACACAATAAGTGTTGATACTTTACCTCTCAACTAAAGGGTGCACTCTGGGGTGACTGGGTGGACAGCGACACTCTGCCTGGGCATGGAGCTCGGGCAGGAAACCGGAGTAAACCTCAACTATTTCCCTGTAAAAACAAGAAACATCCGACTAAGTAACTCTAATGCTAAACACTGAGGAGAGATATTATCCTATTCATTATAATCTGAGATGAGGGAGGGGCCAAATTGCTGACATTGCTTAATGATTGAACAGTTTTTATTATTTTTGCTGGCTATCTTTTAAATCTGAAACACCAAAGGAAAAAAAAATATGATTTCCGAAATGCAGGGTATTTACACTTAATACAATCTGACATGTGCAGTGATGATTATGATGAACAGAAATGACAGTGACCAAACAAGGTTTGTAATAACTTAAATGTTGACTGGTCTTTTACTGGACATTTAGAGTAAAGTGGAAAATCAAAGGCATCATTTGAAAACTCAATCTTTCATTTGTCTGGTCCCAATCTTGATGAGAGGAACTTGTAAGATCCAAGTCCTCACTGTGTGCAGTACATCACTGGTAAGCAAAACACTAATTGCCTCGTATTGAATTCTCAGGAAAATCCTCTGGAAGCAGTATGGATCTTAAGATGCAACGATTAGCCTTCCCCTTCTTTGCTCGGACCATCTTTCCCTTTATTGCTCCATATGGCTTCTCTTCTCTTGTTTCTTTAATCTTTAAAGTATCTCTGTCTATATCTTCTCATTTTGATTCCTTTCCTTTATTCAATCCATCTATAGCTACCACTTCACCTCCTTATTTCTATGACAATCACGATTATTTTCCTTCCTTTATAACCTTTTCTTTCACAATATTCATTTGATTTGGTCCTTCTTTGATCCCTGCCTCTTTGTATCCCCCAGAGCTGCTCATTACCTGTCTCTGTGCCTTACTTTATCCAACTCACCTGTTGGTCAGAGTGGCAGGATACAATCTAAAGTCCTGCATCCAGCCAATGAACTGATTAGACCCTGGAGAGATGAAAAGAGAGGAGAAAGGAACATAAAGAAGGTGTTAATGGGTTTGTACTGAATGCAGTGAGTGAGAGGATTTCACAGTGTTTAGTAGATTATCTTATCAGTTTCTTAATAGCAGCTAAGTGAGGCTTCCCCGGCTGCTAATAATGGACAAGTTCATGACACAAAGCAGAAGGGTCTTTAAGGATAAATGCATATTCTGGACATAATATAACCTATATTCCTAAATCTACAAGAAGGTCTTAAGATATTAGGCTGCACATTTCCAACCCAAAACTCCCTTTTGCAAAAAAAATATGTTGTCCAAAAAACTGTTCTAACAACAAGATATTCAGAAGAACAAACTACTTTAGGGCATTTTTCTTGACAAATCTAAACTGTTACAGGTGTCTACTAATAATTGTTTAAGTCTAATGGGTTACAACATGTTACATTATAACAGGAGAAGAAAACTGTGAAAGCTCTCGTTGAAACGTTGAAAAGAAAGGATCTGCAAAGAGGTAAATGTTAGGCAAGAAATGCCATATATATAAAATATGCCAAGATACCAAAGTCTGAAGCAAAGTATACACTGGAATATCTCACACATATAAGTTCAATGTCCAGACACACATGTGGATATTGGACAGAACACAGGAAACACCATCAAACACATAACAGAACAAAGGCAAGCCCCCATCTCCATACACAAACACACATTCATGACAATGTTGGACAGGACACAAGAGACCCTCACAGACGGTGATGCTGGTTCAACGAGAGCCGGGGTCCTAAAGCGTCCAACAAACTTCTGTCTAGTTTGACAACAACTCTTAGAAGACGGATAACGTCTCTGAGCATCGACAGAACCCCTGCCATGTCTAGCTTTGTCTCTGTGTGTGTGTGTGTGTGTGTGTGTGTGTGTGTGTGTGTGTGTGTGTGTGTGTGTGTGTGTGTGTGTGTGTGTGTGTGTGTGTGTTGTGTGTGTGTGTGTGTGTGTGTGTGTGTGTGTTAGAGGCTTTACTGTGTGTATTCCCCCCAAAAAAGGAAACATCCTTACTTTAGAGAGTGTATGAGTGTTTGTGCATTTGTGTGTGTATTTGCATTTGAGAGAGGCTTTGCCATGTTTGGCTTAACTACAATGTGAGCATGTGTGAGTGTTGGAGGGGTGTATGTGAGTGTAAAACAGAGAGAAAGTGTTATGGGATGTAAGTGTGTTCGAACAGTGTGTGGTTGTGCAGCCTTAGGCTTTGGCTCAGGATTTCTTTGACGTGTGGAAATGGGATTATGTCTTCCTGTGAAAAGCACTCTCCCTATTGTTACTGGGATGATGCAAGGTATAAGCTTTAATTCTCTCCTCTCTGTGGAGGTATCTGTCTTCTCTCTCTGTGTTTCAGTTCCTGTCATCCCTCTGTTTTTCAGTTTCCTCTTCTCTGTTTCTGTTGTTAGAACTGATGGCAGTTAATACAGGCAACTAGGATTTGAGTTGGAGATTTATCTCGGTTTTTTTCTCTCCGTCCTTGAATGCTACTGTTACTCTCTGTAACAGCAAAAGCAAAAGCAAATGGTTAGACAAGTCAGAGATGGTTAATGCTAAATGAACTGCGTTAATATGCTCTTTCTTCCAAGGCGCTTTACAATGCAATGGCAACAATGGTGAATAATTGTACAGTGTAACAATACAAACTCCAGTGTTTCCCCTAGGTTTACTGCTTGGGGGGGGGGGGATATATTTTTTGTTTTAATCCTCCAGAGCAGAGAGAGGAGCTGTGGATTATTGTTATTGATTAATGCATCAGTGTTTCTTAGGGTCAAAAACACTAAAATCACAACTTAGAATGAAAGCGTTTAAAATAAAATAAAAGAGCACATGTTCAATGTGAAAAGTGACAAGTATATACAGTAAGTATATATATATATATATATATTAAAAAAAAAGAATTATAGGCAAGGCAAGGCAAGGCAAGGCAAGTTTATTTATATAGCACTTTTCAACACAAGGCAATTCAAAGTGCTTTACAAAAATGAAAGAGATTAATAAAATGGCATTTAAAATCTAATAAAATAAACATTAAAAGAAAAAAATACATGGCAGTCAATTAAACATTATAATTTCTTTTCTTTTTTTAAACACCTTGGATTTCAGGGGGGGAGTTGGGCTCCGTTGGCGGGGCTCAGCGCCCCTCCAAGACAATGGTAGGGGAAACACTGAACTCCCATTGTCTCGTATTTTAAATGAGATTAAATAACACACAGTACTGCTTGATTACATGCTGCATTGTTTCCAGTGTATTTATTGCGTGTATCTGTATTGACCGGAGGAAGCACGGGGTCCCCTTCTGGAGCCAGGCCCAGAAGGAGGACTCGTCGGCGAGCGTCTGGTGGCCGGGCTTGCCACGGAGCCCGGCCGGGCCCAGCCCGAAAAGGCAACGTGGGCAACACCTCCGCTTCTCCGTCCCGCGGGCCCACCACCTACGGGAAACAGCGATGGGGTCGGGTGCGCTGCCAGAAGGGTGGCAGTGAAAGCGGAGGGTCTCGACGGACCAGACCCGGGCGACAGAAGCTGGCTTTGGGGACGTGGAACGTCACCTCTCTAGGGGGGAAGGAGCCGGAGCTTGTGCGGGAGGTGGAGCGTTACCAGTTGGATCTGGTTGGGCTCACCTCTACGCACAGCGTCGGCTCTGGAACCTTACTTCTGGATAGGGGTTGGACTCTATTCTTCTCCGGAGTTACTCAAGGTGTGAGGCGCCGGGCGGGTGTGGGGATACTCACAAGTCCCCGGTTGGGTGCTTCGTTGTTGGAGTTTACCCCAGTGGACGAGAGGGTCACCTCCCTACGCCTGCGGGTTATGGGGGGGAAAACTCTGACTGTTGTGTGTGCTTATGCACCCAACAGCAGTTCAGAGTATACGGCCTTCTTGGAGACCCTGGAAAGAGTCCTGTATGGGGCTCCTGAAGGGGACTGTTTAATCTTGCTGGGAGACTTCAACGCACATGTGGGCAATGATGGAGACACTTGGAGGGGCGTGATTGGGCGGAACGGCCCCCCTGATCTGAACCGGAGTGGTGGTTTGTTACTGGACTTCTGTGCTAGTCATGGATTGGCCATAACAAACACCATGTTCGAACATAAGGATGCTCATAAGTGTACGTGGTACCAGAGCACCCTAGGCAGAAGGTCCATGATCGATTTCGTTATCGTATCATCGGACCTGAGGCCGTATGTTTTGGACACTCGGGTAAAGAGAGGGGGCGGAGTTGTCAACTGATCACCATCTGGTGGTGAGTTGGGTCGAGTGGCGGGGGAAGCCTCTGGATAGACCTGGTAAGCCCAAACGTATAGTTCGGGTGAACTGGGAACGTCTGGAGGAGGCCCAAGTTCAGGAGGCCTTCAACTCACACCTCCGGCGGAGCTTTTCGGGCATTCCTGTGGAGGTTGGGGACATTGAACCAGAGTGGTCGGTGTTCAAAGCCTCTATTGCCGAAGCCGCGGCGGGGAGCTGTGGTCTCAAGGTCCTAGGTGCCTCAAGGGGCGGTAACCCTCGAACCTCCTGGTGGACACCGGTGGTCAGGGAAGCCGTCCGACTGAAGAAGGAGGCCTTCAGGGATTTGTTATCCCAGGGGACTCCTGAGGCAGTTGCAAGGTACCGACAGGCCCGAAGGGCAGCAGCCTCATCCGTGGCCGAGGCAAATCAGTGGGTGTGGGAGAAGTTCGGAGAAGACATGGAGAAGGACTTTCGGGTGGCACCAAAGTTGTTCTGGAAAACTGTCCGACACCTCAGGAGGGGAAAGCAGGGAACCATCCAAGCTGTGTACAGTAAGGATGGGACGTTGTTGACCTCAACTGATGGAGTGTTAGGGCGTTGGAAGGAACACTTTGAGGAACTCCTGAACCCGACAACTCCGCCCTCTATGTTAGAGGCAGAGCTGGAGTATGACGGGGGATCAACACCAATCTCCCGGGGGGAGGTCACTGAGGTCGTCAAACAACTCCACAGTGGCAAAGCCCCGGGGGTGGATGAGATCCGCCCAGAAATGCTGAAAGCTCTGGGTGTTGAGGGACTGTCATGGTTGACACGTCTCATCAACATTGCGTGGAAGTCGGAAACAGTACCGAAGGAGTGGCAGACCGGGGTGGTGGTTCCCCTTTTTAAAAAGGGGGATCAGAGGGTGTGTGCCAATTACAGAGGCATCACACTACTCAGCCTCCCCGGGAAAGTTTACTCTAAGGTACTCGAAAGGAGGGTCAGGCCGATTGTCGAACCTCAGATTGAGGAGGAACAATGCGGATTCTGTCCTGGTCGTGGAACGACGGATCAGCTTTTTACTCTCGCAAGGATCCTGGAGGGGGCCTGGGAGTACGCTTATCCGGTCTACATGTGTTTTGTAGACTTGGAGAAGGCGTATGACCGAGTTCCCAGGGAGTTACTGTGGGAGGTGCTGTGGGAGTATGGGGTGAGGGGGTCTCTACTCAGGACCATCCAATCTCTGTACTCTCAAAGAGAGAGCTGTGTGACCCATTTCCGGTGAGGGTTGGCCTCCACCAGGGCTGCGCTTTGTCACCAATCCTGTTTGTAATATACATGGATCGGATTTCGAGGCGTAGTCATGGGGGAGGGGGTCTGCAGTTCGGTGGACTAAGGATTGCACCACTGCTTTTTGCAGATGATGTGGTTCTGATGGCTTCATCGGTCTGCGACCTTCAGCACTCACTGGATCGGTTCGCAACCGAGTGTGAAGCGGCTGGGATGAGGATCAGCACCTCCAAATCTGAGGCCATGGTTCTCAGCAGGAAACCGATGGACTGTCCACTCCAAGTAGGGAATGAGTCCTTACCCCAAGTGAAGGAGTTCAAGTATCTCGGGGTCTTGTTCTCGAGTGAGGGAACAATGGAGCGTGAGATGGGCCGGAGAATCGGAGCAGCGGGAGCGGTACTGCAGTCGCTTTACCGCACTGTTGTGATGAAAAGAGAGCTGAGCCAGAAGGCAAAGCTCTCTGTCTACCGGGCCATTTTCGTTCCTACCCTCACCTATGGTCATGAAGGATGGGTCATGACCGAAAGAACGAGATCGCGCATACAAGCGGCCGAGATGGGTTTTCTCCGCAGGGTGGCTGGTGTCTCCCTTAGGGATAAGATGAGAAGTTCGGTCATCCGGGAGGGACTCGGAGTTGAGCCGCTCCTCCTTCGCGTCGAAAGGAGCCAGTTGAGGTGGTTAGGGCACCTCGTTAGGATGCCACCTGGTCGCCTCCCTAGAGAGGTGTTCCAGGCACGTCCAGCTGGGAAGAGACCAAGGGTTAGACCTAGGACCAGATGGAGGGATTATATCTCTTCGCTGGCCTGGGAGCGCCTAGGGATCCCCCAGTCAGAGTTGGTTGATGTCGCCAGGGAAAAGAAAGTTTGGGGCTCTCTGCTGGAACTGCTACCCCTGCGACCTGACCACGGATAAGCGGGAGAAGATGGATGGATGGATGGACACATTGAAGATAAATAGTATCAACAATGTTTGTATCAATATGTATATTTTTTTGTGCAATTTCATGAACATCTAAAAGATGATAACTTTAAGGGGCTTTATTATGATACATTTTTACCATCCAAACTGAAGCATGATTGGAGCAATCTCAACATCATACATCTAATCTTGAGATTTCGAATGAGTTGACTCATATTTTGTTTTAATTCTTTGATACAACTGATGATGCTATCGTTATTGGCCACTTCAAAAATGTATAGTCGTGTTCTTATCAGATACTCAGTTTTCAGTTAAAAGGGTCCCCTCCAAAAGCAGACATAGTTGTTCATCAATACACCTGATCAGCATTCGTATAATCAATCCACTGATCAGAATTCCAGACACAGACCCTAGGTTCAACACACACACACTCCCTCGAGCCAATCACTTGCATTGATCACGACCACTGATGTGATCTTCAGCTGATCAGATGCTACCTGCCTTGAACTAGGGATCAATGCCTGATAAACGAGAAGAAAAACACTCGTTTATCACTCAGGAGATGAACGGATATCATTTTTCTCTCAATTTCTCTCCTATTGACTCTGAGACGGCTCCCAGGCACCACCAATCAATCACAGATGTGTAGTTGAAGGAGGATAAAGGCTGGGAGGAGAATAAAGGTGGAGTAGTCATTGACACCATATTTAGATATACAGACAAGATAAACAAAGAGGTAATTTTTCTCCCCTTGGAGAAAGACAGCGGCCCCATTGAAGGAGGGATGTAGATGGGACTGATTTCAAGTCAGAAAAACAAACGCTGTGCATTGCAATATGAGTTTTATGCTGCAGTTTAAACTTTTTTAAACATTGACAACATATTTTTTTATCATTTCTGGGCTGGCAGTTCCTGGAATTGACCCAAATGTTTAAATGAAATTGATTTAAATACACAACTAAATAATTGTTGACAGTGAGGAATCTGAAAATCAAGCACCCTGTGAATCTGGATCTAATGCTTCTCTAAAACAATGTAATTTCTCAGAAAATGATAGCAGAAAAAATCTGATAGCTTTACCGTTGGAGCTGAGTCCCACCCATATGGCACCGTCCTCGCTGATATCAGAGAGCCTGCCGCTCAGAGACTGTGTGTCAAACGGGGTCCCATCCTCCTCAAGCCCATCTAGGAATAGACTCACATGTCTGTTATGAACCTGAAAATAATTCAGAGTGGGACAAATGTAAAAGAAAATTAAAAGATGTCCTTAAACTGTGAATGCCACACTACCTCAACAAATCTAAATGAATCACAACAAACAATAAATCATTTTGTCTTCAATTTCCGAAAAGCGAGAAACAGATTAAACATTAAAACAGAAAACGGTATTGCAGTCATACAATAGAGCGTGATGTTTCTTCTGAAAAAGCGCTTTTATGTTGTCTGTATTCTAGGTTTCAGAGGGAGAATGTAAAAAGATGATCAATTAATAAGTGATATTAACACAAAGCATCATTGAATACCTTAATAATTGTTTTTTGAGCACTGCCGTGGAACCTAAAAGCATGTAAGTGCCTGAGGGGCAGATGCAGCAGAAAGGCCCAGCAGCGGTATATGCACAGACCAATGGTGTGTTTTTGGATATCCATGCATGCATGTATATGTGTGTGTGTGTGTGTGTGTGTGTGTGTGTGTGTGTGTGTGTGGTGTGTGTGTGTGTGTGTGGTGTGTGTGTGTGACCATGTGTGTGTGAATTATACATACAGCTAATCTTCCAGCTCATTTCCCCAGTAGCAGAAAGAGCCTCAGGCTAAACTGCCTCAGCCGCAAATTAGCTTTCTGTTTGACCAAAAATCTCCTCTACACTCCTTTCCTCTCCATTCCCGATCTGCTGCATGAATATTAAAAACTGCACGGCAGACAACATCGTCAAAGTGGGAGCTGCTACCGTTCACATCAAACCCAGGGAAAAAGAAAGATACCACCATAAGAGGGGCTCTCCCCCCCCCCAAAAAAACTTGAATGTGCCCTGTGCTACTCTCTCCGTTCAGCCCATCTGCAAATCCTGTGTTTGGGAGACACACTGTGGGACCACTGATAAACGAGACTCTCCCTGTCTTACCGGAGTCTCCCTCTCCTTCTTCATCTTTCTGGTCTCTCTTCTGCTCTGGTCCTCCTTGCTTTGTCCTTACTCTTCCATACGAGGTCATTTCATTCCTTTCCATTTTTTCAGTTGTACAAATTCTCTTGCTTATTTTTTATAACCATCTTTATTTTCTCCTCCCTCTCAGTTGACGACTTCCCCCTCTCATCTCCCTTCCTGTCTCTTCCCCTCATGTTTATCTTGCCCTGTCGCTCTCACTTGTTGTCAGCTCTTTAGGGAAGTTGAAAAGGTGTGAGGAGGGAAATAAGTCCAAGTCAAAAAACGCCTTTAGGGGATAAAGGCAGGCCCAGACAAGTGTCTGCCTCTTAGAGGATAGTTAAGACGCCCAGACAGACACTTTCATGATGGCTGATTGAAGACTAGCAAGCGCATAAGAGCAGAAGAGAGCGCAGGAGAGAATAAGAGTGAAAAAAAAGAAAGAGACAGGAGGGAGAAGAAGAAAAGTCAGGCAGCGGGTGTAAGAGAGGGAGCTACAGTAGAAGAAGGGCCCTCTTTAGGAATCTCTAAGCCGGAGCTGTGTGGCTCTTGGGGAGATGTGAGGCAGTTGTCAGGCCTGATGTAAATGAATCCTGAAGCGCTTCATCCTCCTTAGCCGCCACGCGCCCTTTTGAAACACAGCCAACTCCCCTTTGTTAGCTTTCACAAACACTTTCCCTCTGTTTTCCCTTTGCCCGTCCATCTGTATTTTTACCTCCTCCTTCCCTATACCTCTCTTTGTCTCTTTTAGCCAGTGCAACTTCTGAGTTCTTTGAGATTGGGAGGAAAAAAGGAAAAGGAGTTAGAGAATTCTTTAGTGTTAACTAGTCTCATTTGGACTGTGTCCACTAAGTCCAGAGGAAAGGAAAAGACTACTTTAAACGTTACCTATCGCCTTCCTTTAATACTGAGGGTATGATTTTTCATAGTAACATTACTGCGCGTATTTTTAAGATACTTAACTATAATAGAACTGGCACAATTTTTACAATTGGATTTTGGGAATCACCATTATACAGTGAATAGTAGTGTATGGTATATTTTCAGTATAATGGTGTGCATCACTTTATCTACATGTTATTCTACATGCCTAATCATTATCGTTTAATGTCCAAACGTCACCCATATCACCAAAGCTGAAGTTAAATGTTCCTTAATGCAATATCTAAAGAAAAACGATGATATGTCAATTTCCGTATCATGTCAACCAATGCAACAGGACATTCATTTGATACAAACATGTTCCATTTTGCAATAATATGAAGAACATGTGTTTCTGCCGTTTCTCTTTTCTTTGAAATGATCTAAAACTCTATATTTTAGGATAATAGCTGTGAATAGGGAGCGATCATTTCAGCAGGGTTTAATCCTGGGCCATCGGGGATATTGAATCTAACCCCTACACCACCTGAGGTCTCTGCCACCATTCATGGCTCCATTCGCACCTGGCCTGGCTGCACGCTGTTGTCTCCTATAACATTACTGCAAAAAACAGGAACTAAGTACATCAACACATTACATTTTACCATATTATTTGTCATTTTAGCTACAGTTATTTTGTGACATATGCAATTCTGTAGACAAAGTGGTCACTCTTGAATTGACCATGTACTGCATCATCACCTAAAGAAAGAACTAAAGGTGTTTTACCCGACTATTGAAAAATGTAATATAATATGTAAACTTATTTTTTTGTTTTCTTCTTCTGAGAAAAGTTACATTATTAACCTTTCCTTATTAAACCATTTCCTTCAAAAGGCTCCATTTCCTTCAAAAGGCCCTTCAAGCACCCAATCCTGTGCACCACCCACCCCACTGGCACTGTTACCACCTAAGCCCCTCTAAAAGCCCAGGGAAACCCTGAGTGGAAAGCTTTTAGTGATCTGTAGACTGGCATTTTGACTAAAGCTCTTCTCCATTTTCACACTCGTGCCAAGTCATGGCTCAGCACACAGTGTGGACAGCAGTGTTTCTTCTAAGCTCACTTTGTAGCTGTGGGACACAAAAAAGCAAGAGGTGGTAAAGAAAATATTAAGGAAATTAGCCCAACTTGTCTTTGCCAGTCATACAAACATATGCAATCAATAAAAGATTACAAAATATAACTGTTAAGAACTTTTACTTATGTAACCACCATGGAACAAACATGCAACTGTCTGTATCATGCAGATTAAAATGTGTTGCATTGTAAAAGGAAAAAGGAAAAGTCATTTTTGAAATATTGTTTACTTACATCACAGGCTAAAATTCTGCATTTTGTATGACTGAGAGATTATTTTGCAATGGTAAAATGTGGGATGGTTTGTAAATAAGTAGATTTCTAACAACTAACTTCCCCAGTTGGTAAGGAGAGGAATTAGGCGTCTATGGGCCGCAGCGACACTTCCTTATGACCCAGGTCCTTTTTTGTGAACTTGATCAAATAGCTCAGTCAACACACTAATTACAGGCACTATTTTTATGTCAATACAAATGGATGAGGTGTATTTAAAAGCTGTATTAACTATCAATACTTGTATTAATGATTATGTGTTTTTGTTATGTCTCATTTTATAGCTTTCATGACATGACATAAGATGGTTCTTGAAGTAAAACTAACTGTCTTACTCTATTTGGAGACCAGACTAAAGCTTTTCAATTTATCATGGTCCAGGACAGGTTAACACACACATACATTCCTCTGAATGATTCTCAATATTCTAAACAGCCAGGAGTTATCCAGACATCTGACATGTTGCCATCAGTGTCAGACATTATTAGAGTCACATTTCACTTAAATGTAGAGAAGAGCTATCACAGCTGCGAGTGACAGTTTGAGGTCAGGGTATGAGAGGGGCCTTAAGGAGGACTAATACCGGAAACCAATTCTAGATACACATTTTCTGCTGTCTGATTTGTTTATTAAGTACTAAAGCAGTGCAAGGCCCTCTGAAGGAGCTTAATGTTCTCTATGTGTTTGAGTGTGTGTGTGGGTGCAACACACTGACCTTTCTCACAGAGGATACTATTTCCCCATGTTGCTCACATCTACCCAGTTCACCTTTTTCTGATAAAGCTCTACTTTAGTAATTGTACTTTTACTGACACGATGAAACACATTTAAACAAATTACATCTCGGTCTTACAGCATACTGGCAACTCTCTCTATTTCTTTAACGAGGAACATGCACTCAACAAACAAATAAACAAAGAAATTGTTGACAAAGTAGAACGGGCGGCAAATATGATAATTCAAACTTGTGGCAGGACAGCTTTTTTTTTTAAACTTAATGTGTGCCTTCGGGTTCACATATTGTGACTTCTGAGATACACCTTTGTTGCCTATAAAATGTACTTTACTTGACATTATCTTTCGTCAATCTGATTCGCTCTAATCTTAAAACTAAGATGCCCAGTTCCTGTTCTCCTACTTCCCGACTCTTTAAAGCTTCCAGACATTTCCACCCTCGTGTCTTGAACTCTGTTGAGCCATCTTTTGTTTTTTTTCGGTCAGGCATTCCCCTCTCTTGTTGCTGTACTCATGCTTGTCTGCTCTTCCTCACCTATCTCTTCCTCTCCTTTAACCTCCTCTAATCCCTGATTCCCTTCCTCTGCCCCACAGCATCCCGCCTCACCAAGCTCCCTCCACACAGCCGCTCTCTTCCTGATGTGTTGCCCTGTGACTGACATGCCACTCACTGATAACACACCTCATCCCACAGACAGTGAAGCTGTCATTGGGGGGGGGGGGGGGGGGGGGAGTCAGCAAAAGAGTGAGAAGGGAAGGGAGAAAAGGAAAGTAAGAGAGACATTAGGGGAAGGTTTTAGTGAATGAGACAAAGACACTAGGGTGGAAGGAAGAAAAGGAGGATACATGGGGAAGTGACAAATAGATATTGGAAAGTTTACAAGAAGAGCAAGATAGAGATGATTATCAGAAAAGACAATGAGGAAGACATTCAAATAAGAACATATTAAATTGTTGGCGGGGAATTAAGAAACGGCGATAGAAATGAAGCAGTGAATAGAAAAAGAGAAAAAGTCAGACTTGATAATACTATTAAAAGCAAAATACTCTTTTTATTTGTTACCTTTCA